AGCTCCAGGTCGAGCTGTTGTTCACCATCTTAGCTGTAGAGGGTGCAGTGTCACTGGCCCTAATGTGGGATCCGAACTGGGGCCCTGATGCTCAGAGCTGACGTCCCAAGTCAACTCTTAACCAACGTGCCACTCGCCCGGCCCTCCACTATAAATCTTAAAGCTACCACTAAAAGGACAGAAACAGAGCCAACACTTGGTATCTGTCTCTCTGACTCTAACTCTTCCAGGTGGTTTCTCATTGTGGTTTAATTTGCATTTCCCTAATAGCTAATGATGTTGAGTGCTATGATGTCTTTTCATTCTTTTAACAGTATCTTTCACAGAGCAAAATTATAACATTTATCCTTTTATGGATGGTATCATTTATAAATAAAGACAGTTTATGACTTATTTTCTAGTCTGGGCACCTTTTTCCACTCCCAATAATTTTACATCCTGTCGGGCAGGGCCTTGGAGGCTGCTTCCAGGGAGAGTACCTGGTCTCCAGGTGGGAAGTTCGTTAGGGTATCAACAGCATCTGAGGCCTGGCTGATGGCTTCACCTTGGTATTAATGGACTTCAACAAACAGGTAAGTCAGGGCGTTCTGGGGACATTCTTTCAAAGAGAGCATTCATTAGAGGCCATCTGGTCCCTCCTCTGGATTCTGACCCGGGTCAGCAAGCCCTTGACTGCTGTGTAAACCCACATGTCCAGAATAGACTTTCTCTTCGAGGAATGTCAACAACTGAATGAGTGGATGGTGTGTCCTCATGTGGCTGTTGTTCAAACTAGAATTTCTAATTGTGCCATCTCAATAAACCCAGTAATCAATTTAAAATTACTGCATCCATTAAAAAAAAATTACTGCATCCGTAAGAGGTGGGAAGGGTTATTATATAGAACTCTCAGGTTTGTCTTTCAAATATCTGCGCACGGAATAGCATTTCAACAAAAGATATCATAGATGAATATATCCTAAAGCAGTGGTCTTTGGGTTACAGTTTTTAGAAATAATCATTGCATTTAAATACAAATAAGTAATTTAGGCATACTTTTTAAGTAGAATGGCAGTTTTACTTCTGTTCTTAGAGCTTTAAAATAAAATCCACATATAGAAATATTGTGCAGTACTGAAATGTTCATTAAAGAAAACAAACCTTCCCATTTTCCATTTGTCATCCAAGGTTAACTAAACTTTGGAGAAGTTAAGTTGCTGCTGTAGGTGGTTTATTTTGGGTCACTTATTTTCCCATCGACTCAGCAGAAGTTCCAACTTGCAGAAGTCACAAAAGTCTTGACTTGCTTGAGTCAGGACTAGTCTGGCCAGAATCAATCTGACTTATAAGAGATTGTGGTTTGGCCCGTTTCCTGAGCGGGGAACCTCTGCTTGGTCTTGGGGGGCATGGAGGCACAGGGAGAATCTCGACTTCCCCGGGGGGCACTCTGACTCTCCTCAGGTCCCCAAATCCTGTTGATAAAGCCCCACTGCTTGCCATTCACCCACATCTGCGGAGGGATGGGCCCCGAGGCTCAGTCACTGAACTCAGGAGCAGACCGGTAGGAGGGGCATCTCTAGGCATCGATGTATCAGGAGTTGTCCACCTCTGAGCCCAAGAGCCCTCTGAGGTGACTGATGGCAGCCAGTCTCTTACCCTCTGCAGTTCGCCCTGCTGCCTGCATCACTGGCAATGATGAAATCCTCCTCTCCCTTCCCTTTTTCCTTCCCTTCCCTTTTATTCCCTTCCCTTCCCTTTTCGTTAATTTGTATTATTTTGGAAAGAGTGGATAACATAATCAGGGAAAATATTTCTAATAGGACAAATAAATAGTTTGTACTCCATCAGGAATAAAACTGGCAGCAGCCACCAATTGGGAAAGCCTCTAACAAGTACAAAGTTCTCTCAAACAGCTTGCGTCCCTGGCTTCTGTCACAGCCACCCGGGGTCTGCAGGAGGTGGCTGTTGTGACTGTGCATGGATACGCTGGCTCCAGGACAGCCAAGCGACCTGCCCAAGGCTGCCCAAGAAGAGCGTGCAGACTGGTCCCCTCCTGGCCCTTGCCGCTGGCTGCGTGGCCCGCTCCTCACTTCTCCTTTCTCCTTAGTAAGAAAGCTCAGGAAAAGGAAAAATGAAAAAAGAAAGGGAGGAAGGAATAAGGCAAGGAAGAAAGGATGGAAGGAAGGCAGGAAGGGAGGGAGAAAGAAAACCCTGGTGAGGGAGAGGCAGTTTCCAACTGTAGATCACGGGTACTTCTTTATTATTTCTCTCCCCTGTTGACTGACCTCCCCAGCCCTGTCCCAGCCCGGCTGAAGGCAGTGACCTGACTGGTTTGTTCCTATTTTCTCTCCTCCATGTCTTGCCCAGTAGAACCACTTATGAAAGTAATTTGAGTTAATACAAAAGAGAAACCCAAAAGGCTGTTTTCGGTCCCTGCTTAGAAGACAGTACTAGAGTATGCCAAACCCGGGAGCCTCTGAAAGCTGGTTCTTTCAGACGTTCAGACATTCAGGTGTGGCCAATGGAACACGCAGGTAGGTGGCCACAAAGTTCTCAGTGAGGAGATTTCAACCATCCTTATCCTTGTCCTGTCGGGAGAAGCAAGCAGGTGGGAAGGAGCTGCTCCCAGCCCTGTAACCCGGCCTTGGGGCATGGCTGTGGAATGACTAGGTGCATTTCTCTGCCGTATTTGCTGATGTCCCAAGAAAAGCCAGAAGCCACTGTGGCTCACTTGTCTTCTCCTGGGCAGCCTTGGTCCTGGCCTCTCACCCTCCTCAGGCCACAGGGCACATACTGAGCAGAAGGGACAGGATTGGGGGGGAGGGGAGGCCTGTGGGCATCCCATGGCTGTTAATTATGTATTTGTTTACATCAGATAATTAAAATTATAAGCACAAAACACGGAGGACAGCAAATGCTCACTTCACATCCTCCAGAGGCTCTTGGAATATTAAAAACTGAGCTCTACAGACATTGAAAAAACAATAAAAACAAGTAAGAGAATTATTTTGTAACCCACTGATTTCAGTTCAGTGTGGGAGCAGGCGGAACCCACCCTGGACAGGGCGGCTGTCCATTGCAGGGCCACTCACAGCCACCCACACCCACTCAGACAGGGACAACGGAGAGGTGCCCCTCATGTGCATGTCTTTGGGATGCGGGAGGAACCAGCACCCCAGAGAAAACCCATGCAGACCTGGGGAGACCATGCACACTCCACACAGGCAGTGGCCCTGCTGGGAGACAATTTTTTTTTCTCATCAATATTATAATGAAACGATGGTGAACTAAATGATGTTATTCGAGGACCTGCTGTACTAAATTATATAGTTAACACTGAATTTATATGAAACTTCCAAACAGATTTTTCCATTTGCTCACTTACCTTACAGACGTGGACACACTGTTTTAAGCTGGGGTTCTGTGCTTGAACTGCCACTCAGTTCCTGACCAAGACTTTAATGATGACCTAATCACACTCTTGAAGTTCATCACCAGCAAGAAACTTTGTTTGCACAGGAGATGATATAAAATATTTTGTGTGATTTTAAAAAACATTTTCCACAGTAGAAAGGATCTTTGTTTTTGTTCTTTCGCAGATAAATGTGATGCTGGCACTTTTCATAAAGATGCAGTCTTTTCAAACCCTCAGAACTTTCCCATATGGAGCATTTCACAACAACAGGGGAGCCGCTCACCCTGGAGATCTGGGCATCGGGGCTGGCAGCCAGGGCCAGGACCCAGGGCCATACCCATGAGCCCAGTGCAGATGCTGCAGTGGCTCACAGTGGGGAGTAACAGGCCTGAGGATGACTCTGGCCCTGGCCCTGCATGCCTGCTCAGTGGGCTGAGCGATCAACACTTTAACTGAGCCCTTGCTAGCAAAGTAAGGCAGACTCTTCCTGCCTCAGTCTGCCTGTCTGTGAAGTGGGGATAATAGCAGCACCTACCTGGTAGGGCTGTTATGAGGACTAAATGTGAGCGTGCCTGGCACATAGGAAATGCCATCTCTGTGCCTCGTAAATAAAATGAAGAGGTCAAGAGGCTCCGGAGCAGGCCCCAAATCACATGCTTAGAACCAGGCAGAAGCAGGCACCTCAGTTCTGAATTCTCTGTCAACCCTCTCTGGACATGGGCTGTCGCAGGTCATTGAGCCTCCCAGTCTCAGTTCCCGACCCACATAGGATGATGACACTGGTACCCATGGTCATAACGCATGGGCTCAATAGGACAGTTCACATAAAGTGCTTGAGATGTAGCAGGTGCTCCGTAATGGCCATTGTCACAGCACAGCCTATGCCTGCTCCCTGCCCACTGTCCTGCCTGCCTCCCACACAGGAAGTCATTCACCAGCTGGGTGCTCTCGGGCACTCTTCTACTGTTCATTTTAACTCCTTCTGCTCATAGCGTGTTTTTCAACCCTTTCATATTTTTGTCCTCCCCTTTGGCCTCCCCAGAGTAGTTTTCCTTTATCTTTAAGAAACGTCTGGGGCCGGCCGAGTGGCTCGTTGGTTAGGAGATGGCTTGGGACGCCAGCTCTGAGCAGCAGGGCCTTGGTCTGGATCCCACGTGAGGGCCAGTGACCTGCGCCCTCTACATACAGCTAAGATGGTGAACAACATTTCGACCTGGAGCTGGGCTGCCGTGGGTCGCCGGCAACGGCGTAGGCTGCAGTGGGGCTGGTCGGCAGCTGGCGTGAGCTTTCTTGAGCTGCCATGAGCCACCGTGAGTGGCCGTCCAATGGCCAGCAAGTGACTGCCTCACCTGGGAAGAGCGCAATGATAATACCAACATGAGCCAGTGAAGCGACGTCCTCTACAACTAGACTGAAGAATAAAAGGACAGCAACTTGTCTGTTCCCCTTCCCCGATTCCCCAATAAAATCTTTAAAAAACAAACAAAAAACTCTGAGAATGGTGAAGCAAGTGTCCGGAGGGTGAGGCACTGAAGTGATCCCTCTTCAGGGCACGAGGCTGCCGGTGGCCCCATCTTTCGACGTCTCAAGCAAGCACAACACATCCTTCCTCATTCAAATTTTATTAGCAAGTCATATGGAAGAAATAGTTATAAAACGTTAAATATCAAATGAGTCACTCATCAATAATTGATTCATGTAAGAGTATCTTTTTTTTCAGAAGACTAGAAGAAGCAAAATCAAAGATGGCATTTCAATTCATAGATATTTTTAGATTTCATAGTCAGGAAAAAGAAAAGAACCTGAAAAAAACAGCTTCGACTGTGTGCATATGTTAATAGCAAGGGGCAGCTGCAGACAGCAGGATGATAGAGCCCAGTGTTTAGGATCTGCAAGGTAAGTGACAAGGAATAAGGCCTTTCATTAAAATATAATATTTACGTCTCTTCCCATCATATACACACAAAGATTTTTTTCTCCTTAAATAAATATATACTCTGTATTTTTAATGACGACGGACTGGACAACACTCTTCTGGGGCTTTCGGGCATTTACTTGATAAGGAACACAGAACGCAGAACGTTGGAGCGGGCGTGGACCTTGGGGCACGCCCCAAGCCTGGCTTGTGGGCATCTGTTTGCTCTCATCACACCAAGACTTCTGAGTCGTCTGAGTTGTCCGCAAACAAAAGTTCGTCTGGCGGTGGGCCCCTCAAGGGCAGCGTGCTGGACTGGGACCAGGAGACCCCAGTGCTCACTTGTCTGTCCTCCGGTAGGAGCCCGCTCTCCCCCTCTGTCTCCGTTACTGGGGCGGCAGGCTCCAGGTCTTCCCAGTCCCCACTGCCCCTGTCCAGGATGTACCTTCCCTCGTGCGCTCTGTCCTTGTGCTGTGAACTTGCATGAACTTGGGCTGTGACCACGCTGACAGCAGCGCTGGGCGTGCAGGACGCACACCTGGGGTTGGGGTCCACGTCTGTGTCTGGCTGTGCAGGTGGGGGGCCGTCTGCTGGGCCCTCACAGCCCCCGGGAAGCTGTGTGTTCATGTAAATGACATCGGCCTTGTCCTGCACTTGAGGCAAACTTTCCAAGAGCTTCTCTAGCTGCAGCCTCAGCACGGAAAAGGGAGGCCGGTCCAAGGGGTCCGCCCTCCAACAGGACTGCATTATTTCACACCTGCGAGGACAGAAGACGGGTGAGCCCCCAGTGCAGCACGCCCCTTGTTTTCACATCTTTGTGGACTTTATCACATTTTAACCCACACTAATTCTACCCTTTGGAAATTACAGAGGTTTTCTTGGTGGCTTAATATTTGTTTGAGTTTTAGAAACGCTCCATGGGTATGTAACAAGTGCTCCTCTGGCTCCAGGAATACAGGACACGAGGCAATTACACCTAACTTTGCAAAGGACGAGAATTTCAGGTCCTTTCCTGTATTCCAGAGGTTGGCAACCTATAGCCCACCATCTGTTTTGTAAATAAAGTTTTACTGGAACACAGCTGCATTTGTTTACTATGGCTGCTTCTGCTGCAATGGCAAACTTGTGCAGTTGCTAGAGACCATATTGCCTCAAAACCAAAAATACTTGCTATTTGGCCCTTTATAGAAAAAGTGTGCTGCCCCCTGTTCTAAGCCATCAAACTGGGTTTGTCACCAGGAGAGCAGAATCAGAAGGGCCCAGGGGAGTGGGGGAGGAGTGTTTTGTGTGTGTCACTACATCTCATCTTCTCAGCAGCCCCGTCACCGCTATTTTGTAATAAACATGGGAGTGAGCAGTGGGGGGCAGCATGGGAACCCGCCTGCCACTAGACAAGTCCTGTGCTCAGGGGTTCCTCCGCACGACCTTCTCTGCTGTGCTCTGTAGGGAGGACTCCGTTCCGGGGGGACGTCCTCATTCCCTGGGTCTGACATAATTAAGAATTACAGTTGGAGGGACAGTGACATGAGCACAGTCAAACATGGAGATGACTGACGCAGATGACTGAGTGGTGCCATCATTTCATGTGGATTCTTTCCTGTTTTGAGATGCTGATATTTATATTGCTGAATAAGGAAACAACCCAAGTGTGAATCACCTGACACACAAAGTAGATTACTGACCTGTATGAACAAAAACATGCAATTCCTGTGTCCACATGCAATCGCATCACACAGAACATTCACACACATTTACAGACCTCATTCATGCACAACAATTGATAGCTTCGCATGTGTTCACTTTTCAGCCTCTGTCAACACGTGCACGAGCTTCTGGAAAGCGGGGCCTGCAGATGTGTTGCCTGTGAGCACAGGACGCCAAGCTGATGAGCAGCAGGCACATCCTCACCTGGGTGTCTGCTTAGTTCTGTCCTCTCCCTGTTTCTGAGACGGTTACTGAGACTTACAAACAGGTTTTGTTTTCATTTTTGAGGATTTTATGGTACAGGTGGATTTGCATGACTTCCTTTCCCCCAGAGCCTTGCCTGTGTGCAGTCTGAGATGAGCTTTGAGGAACCCTGTCCTTAGAGACATGCTCTCCTTTTCTCCACACCATCAAGGCGCTGCAGTATTTAATTTACTTTCCTTTATTCTACCTCTCAGGAGAGAAAGCGTTTAAATATTCTATGCTCCTCTTCATGTAACATGGCGGTAATATCACTTTGAAAGTTATTTTACTTTTAATACTTCACGAAATATGTAAAAATACGAATATTACTTGTAAAGACATGGCGAACCGCTCCCAGAAAGGGTGACTTCATGGTAGCAGACCAAGGAGCGGGGCAAAAGGGCCGTCCCTTGGCAGCAGGGGGACACTGCAAGGGTCAGCGATTTCAATTTCAGGGGCGGAAAGAAACAAGTTTGGTAGCTGCCTTTGCAAACAGTCATTTTTGTTTTTCTGTTGAGATTTTATAAAAGATGTAATCATATAGGTTGCCAGGGCTGGGGGAGGGTGGGAAGGATGTTGTTTCATGCGGACAACATTCATGTTGTTTCATTTGGGAATATGGGTGGTGGGGTGGCTACACAACAACGTGGAAGGACCCACGCTACTGAGCTGTGCACTTACAAATGGTTATGGTAGGAAATGTCATGTTCTGTGTATTTTACCACAATTTAGATAAAAGAGTTGAAAAAGGTGCAATCAGACGAATTTACATATTTATCCATATTTGTTGAGCACCTGTTTTCTTCCTGCATCTGAGGATGGCTGAATACTTCATGTCTGCTCAAAGAAATGGCACCTGAGAGGCGGGCATCATGTCAGCAGCACGTTGTCTACAGTGCTAAGCAGGTTTGGGTGTGCTCTGCCACTCAGCCCACAGTGACCCCATTGCTGTCCTTTCTGGGGCCTGAGCTGCCACAGGCACAAGTGGATGGACTGGTCAGAAAGTGGAGAGGGGTTTCTGAGGGGGGAAGGAGGTATGAGCTCAGGTTCTTTCTTACACCATCAGGCCACTGTGCAACCATTTCCTCATGTGTAATGGGGGCAGGGGAGCAGATAACCCCAGGTCCCGCCAACCTGGGCTTGTCTGGTTTTATGGCACTGATGGCATTTAGGGTGAGATTGGAGTGGAGAGGGACTCTGAAGGATACCTGCAAACCGAGGGGACCCAATGGGATAGAGAAAAGACAGGGTGGCTCCCGAGTGTCACTGGAGGAAGATGGGAATGGGGGTGCCAATGCAAGAAACACGGTGGTCAGCTCATGGGAGTGTCTGAGGGCTGTGGCCGGTAGGCCATAAGCTTGGTTGAGGAAGTGTCCCACGGGGGAACAGAGTGGCCTCTGGGCAAGGGGAGCAGGCCTGCCACCTGGTCACTCCAAGGTGAGTGATGACGTGAGAAGAGGTGGCCTCAGAGGGCAGGATGGGAGGGCAGGGCACAAAGCACACTCCCTTACGTTGTTACATTTAGAGTTGACTTTAAAAAGATGAAGGGGCAACGAACACAGGAGTGAACGCATCGCAGAGAATGCAGGCAAGAAGCTCAGTGTGGCTCATTCATTTTAAAAAGAAGATGCCCCAGGTATGGAAACACGAGCCTCTTTGGAGGCTGCTGTTATTCACCAGCATCTGGACAGGACAGGGGACGTGGGAAGGCCTGGTTCAAACCCATGGTGGCCCTGTACCACCTGGGAATGGGGACCACAGGGCAGCCTGACCCCGACCTCCCAGCCACATGGCGTGTGCTGACTCTGTGACATTTTCCCCTCAAAAGCCTCACAGGAAGCTGATCAGCATTCCTCACAGGGCTGTCAGACCCCAGACGATGACCACAAGCACCATCGCCCTGTCACACACACAGATGGAAGTGGCAACAAAACTCTTCATTCAACACTGTTGGGCTGAAATGCCCTCCTCCTTTTCAGAAGCAAACACTGCATTCACATGGCCCTTTAAAAAAAATGCCATGAAACCTCAGATCTAATTGAATTAGGAGTTGAGCATGTTTTTCAAGGAGTTACATTTCTCGTCTGTGCTCTGAGTGTTATAATTCACAACTGCAGTGACAGCTGCTGCCACCACACCGGCTGAGGCTCTGGTCATTAAAGGTTCCTTCTGTTTGGTGTGCATGGGGCCCAGGAGGCCTGCATGCCACCTCAGTTGGCCCTCCCCAGTGAGGGAGCAGGGCCAGAGTGGGGGTGTCCATGTGTGTGGGGTTCCTGCCCATGCCCATCTGCCCGAGCACCCACGCAGGCCTATAGTCCTGCCATCCTGCTGGATGTGAAGAACGTGTCCCCTCTCCAAGCCCATGAGTCCCACTGAGTGGGGAGGAGACTGGCACTGGGAGGTCCATGTCACCAGCTAGGGGCAGCGGTGCAGAAATTATCTCAGAAAGGTCAGCAAGGCACTTGGGCAGGTGGTTCTGTGTCACGCATTGGCAGCATCGTGTGACACTTGCTCTCTGCCTGCTGCAGGCCGGGTGCGCCACACACTGTCTTTAACCATCCCGGTACCTTTCTGGAGTATGCGACTACACTTTTCCTGCAGCTGATCACAGGCACAGAGAGGTCTGCTGTGGTGGCCCTACACGTGGCTAGCTGGAGGCAGAGCCTGGCCTGAGTGGCTCGTAGGCCCAGGCCTGTCCCCAGACCGCCCGCCCTGGAGAGGAGAGGCCTGGTGAGATGTGGTCTTGCACACTCGGAGCTGGGGCCCCCATGCCAGCTGAGCACCTGTCTCCCAGGGAGTGTCTTAAAACACGCACCTCTGGGCCCACTTTGTCCTAGCACCATCACAGTTTCCAGGCACAGGGCCAAGGAACTGTGCTGTTAGAATACAGCCCATGTGATTCTGATGACAGCCTGACCTCAGAGTCATGGGCTCAGATTTCAAAACTTCCTGATTGAGGACATTATTGCAATTGGTTTCTGTGAAATTATGTCCAGAAAGAGAAGGATGATGTAGCACAAGAGGGCACATGGCCATTCGGGTACCTCATGTGTGATAAGGTCACCTGCTTATCTAGGACACATTTCCTAGAGCTGCCTGCAGACCTGGAGAACGCAGGGGCCCATTGCTCCCTGCATGCACCATCTCCCTGCCAGCCAATGCTCTGGCCTGAGTGTCTGTATACATCCGCCTGGCTAAGAGTGTCCCCTCTCCCTGTGGCTGTGTGTCCCCAGGTCTCTGAAGAGCCACTGCTGGCCCGGGCAGGTGCCCGGTGGCATGGAGGAGATCACTCACAGTTCGTCTAGGCAGTCCTCTGGTGGCTTCAGCCTGTGGCCGTGGAGAAGGTGGTTGTATATCTCATGGTTCTGGACTCCGGGGTAGGGCGTCATGCCCCGAGTTGCTATTTCCCACATGGTCACGCCGAAAGCCCACTGAGAACAAAGCAATGATAAGTCCAGACGTGAGCCTTTTCAGGGGACTGAATAGACTTTTCATCAGCAAAGGTCATTTCCTTAACGCCCCCATGACCGTGCACAGAGCTGACAATTATGTCTGAGACACGCTGCTCTCCCATCACGGCAGTGACGTGGGGTCAGAGCGTCATGGTCCCCATTCTACTCCCGCTGTTCTGGGCAATATGACAAAGGCAGATAGAGCCTCCTGTCACACCCATGCTTGGTTCCACTGCTGCCATCAGTGTCTGCTTAAGGGCACAGCTACACAGCCTCTTTCATGCTGTGGTCATTCAATGAACTCACTAAATTCAGTGTGAACGTGAAATTCCTCAGTTGTGGGTAAGAAGTCACCATATTGTGGCAAAGAACAAATGGACTAAGTTAAGGGCCTGTGCGAAGCCTAAGATTTGGGTGTCAGGAGACCCCATCAGAATCTAGGAGTCCAGTCGATTTAGAGTGTCTGGTGTTAAGTAGATGTGAGAATTCCCCCAACCCTCAGATTATCCGAGTGGCAATAACTGCCACATTGCTTCCTTCAGCATGGGTCCCCTCTGCCTCACGGGGTCCCAAGTGGAAACTACGTACCACGTCACTTTTACTAGTGTAGACACGGTCCGCGAGGCTCTCGATGGCAATCCATTTCACGGGCATCTTCGCAATACGGCCCTGGCGGTAGTAATCACCGCTGTAAATCTTCTTGGAGAGACCGAAGTCTGCGACACACACGGTCATGTCATCTCGCAACCTATGGAAAGTGAGCGTGTATCCTCAGGGACTCTGGAGGCACAGCCCTAAGTTGCAGGTCTGTTCACACGCTGCTAAGGACATCTATGCTAAGTGACTGCCTGGGAGGGTCCTGCTTGGGAACCAACAGCAGGGGCGAGGGTGAGCAGGACAGTTACAGCCTTGCACCCTCCTCTGGTCTGGGAGGGGTCTGGACTAGCAAGGCCACCTGTGCACAAGGATGGAGACACATGGAGGGAACAGAGGTGACGCCCAGAGGAGGAGGAGCCCAGCTCAAACCCAGGGTCGCTGGTGCCAACACACTGAGCCCCAGCAACCTCCCTGCCTGACATTCTGCATTGGTTCTGGGGGCCAAGGGAGCCTCCTGACAGCTTGGGGGACATAGGCCAGTACATGCCGGTACAGGAGACCCTGGGCTTCCTGTGAAGACAGCCAGATAGAACTTGAGGAATGAATCGTTCAACTAAAGGGCTACAATTGTATTTATAGCTCAAGCTGTTAAAACAGACCCTAGACAAGAAGGAGACAGAAGAGGACAAATGGGTGGTCTGCAGGTAGGTGACAACCTGTCCCTGTTTGCCTGACACTGGACAACCTGTCCCTGTTTGCCCGACACTGACATTTAAAACTTGACATCCCACAGCCTGCAAAACCCCTCAGTTCCAGGCAGATCGACAGCTGGTCACTGTATCTAATGGGAAAAAATTGAAGGAAGTATTAAGGGGGAAAAAGATTTTCATGATTCTTCCTTCGTGGTAGACAAATTATTTAAATAAAAAACAAGACCCTCTTGGCCCTCAAAACTGAGGTGAAAGAGGTGGGGGGCAAGGGGTGGGGCTGGTCAGGAGGACTGAGGGGCAGGCATCACTCTGTCGCATCTCCAACCAAGAAAAACAGACGAGCAACGCATTTAAGGAACACTGCCTCTTCTGCGACAGTAAACTTAAAATCTAGACATGGCCGTTGTTTTTGAAGATATACAGCAGATGATGGCTGCTGGAACAGGGTGAGGAGATGGGCAGGACTTAAGCTCAAAGTTTTCTGAACATCCTTGTGCCTCTGCTGGCAAGGAAAGTGTCCACAGAACTTAGGGACAGACGTTTAGGATTTTCATGACTGTGTTCGTGACTAAAAGACTTATGTACAACTCTGGGCCCACTGCAAGCTACTGGTGATGGGCAAGGAGCACAAATGTCATATGTCACCTTCTGGGATGTGAGAGTGTGAAAATACAAACGTGGTCGCCAGGGTCGGAGGGAGAACGAACAAGCAAAAAGCCAGTCACACATCAGAGCCATAGGGATCCCACCTCCAAACCCCAGCTCGCCTCCTCTTGTGATAGCGACAGGCCAGTGCCCTATGTCCCCCCGGCTCCCCCGCCCCCCGCCCCACAAATGCCAACAGGAGGAGGTGTGGCCCCCGAGGGCGTGCCAGGACCCTTACATGCAATTTCGAGCAGCTAAGTCACGATGAAGGAAATTCCTGTTGCTCAGATACTCCATCCCCTGGGCTATGTCCAGCATGAACTTCACCAGCGTCTGCACAGGGATGTGCTAAGGGGAAAGAGAGAGCAAGAAGAAATTATATTTTTAAAAGGAAAACCTGTAAGTTATTTCCATCTGTACACGGAAACGGTGTTTTTACTTCTTGAATGTGTGGTCACGAAACAATGAAACAAACCTTTCCTTTCTGTGTCACTAATACCATAAGTAAGGTTTTTAAAAAGGAATTAAAAAAAAAGAAAGACGACGACACTAAAATTTTTTGGCAAATACCACATTCTCTTCTCCCTGTCTTTAAAAGCATTGACGGTGACTAACATTCATTTCCCAAGTTCTGAGGTCACATACCATCCTCCGTGTCCTGAGTGGCTGTGGGACCTAGCAACCACACCATGCTTAGAGGGGACACGAGGGAGGTTTGGCTTCTCTGTGTGTGTGTGGGGGGGTCTAATATTTTGAGGCAAAAAGCCCACTTAGAAGGAGGAGTTTCCAACTGTGCAACCACAGCTGCGGTCACTTTACCCTGAAACGCTTTGAAAGGTACTGTTTCTTCTTCTAGAGAGAAATGAGGATGGTCTCTGCCCCTTATCGCAGGAATTTTCACTATTTCCCGAGGACCCTCCTGTAAGTTTCAGCAGTCTGGTATTTTCTCCGTGTTGTGAAGTTGTACTCGGCTGCCGGGTTAGGAACCTGCCAGGTGGGAAGAATCCCGCGGATGGTGACAGGGGAAGCCGTCCCCGCAGTAACTACATGTTTGAGTCCAGTTAGAGCCTACACAGGAGGGCTAAGTTCCTGGCAACCACCAACAGGTCTGTCCCCACACCCTGTCCCCAAGACACTGGACTTGTCATGGCATATGCTCCATGGCACATGAGTTTTCTGTCCCCCCCTCCCCCCCGCAAAAGAACGGTTTATTCAGGAAAAGAAAAAGAAAAACCAAAACCACTACCACAGTGCAGGAATGCACATCTCCAACCCGGGGCTCCAACCAGCTGCCCACGTGAAGAAAAATCTGAGTTTTCTCAAATGGTGCTCATGAAGACACTGCATTTTTAATGGTTTATATTCCCAGCCAGGGCCCATGTCAATCACGAACTGCATATATGACAACACGCTTAGATTCTCCTTCACCCTTCCATATGGAGTTATTAGAAAATGGAAACAGACCAGGCAGGACAGGCTTATATTCTGTATTTCTGGGGCATCTGATTTTCTGGGTGCTAATTTTCAGGAAAGGATTGGGTGCTAAGAAATATAAAACCTGCTGATGTTCCTGAAGGGAGAAGGAATATGAGTTGCTATTAATTTGTGTTACTTTCTCCCAGAATGATGATGCTATTCTTGCAGACTGTGACCAAAAGTCATTTAAAAGGTAATTGTGTGGTGGAACTAACCCATGGGTTCAATAAAGCTGCAGGATGCTAGATACAAAAATCAGCTGTATTTCTATGTACGAGTGATGAACAATCTGACAATGAAATTAAGAAAACAATATTAACACCACTATACTGTTGCCTGTGTCTGTGAGTTCGTTCGTTTGTTGCTTTCTGTTTTATATCCCACATAGGAGTGAAATCCTGTGGTTCTTGTCCTTTTCTGACTTATTTTGCTTAGCATGATACTCTCAAGATGGGGGGGGGGATACAAGAAGGTAAAGGGGGTCAAATATAAGTGATGGAAGAAGACCAGACTAAGGGTGGTGAACACACAATGCGATAGACAGATGATGTGTTACAGAACTGCACACCTGAAACCTATATATTGTTAACCAATGTCACCCAATAAAATTAAAAAAAAAATTTTAGCTATAAAAGAATCAAATATAAAATACTTAGGAATAAGTTTAACAAAACAAGTGAGAAACTTATACTCTAACAAATATAACATGAAAGAAACTAAAGTAGACCCAAATAAACAGAAAGACATCCTGTGCTCGTGGATCAGAGTGGGGACAGAATGGCAGGGAGGCCCTGCCGGGGACATTTCGTAACTGAGACCTAGTCCTCGGTCACTCCTGCAGACACAATATACTCAAGGAACTGACTGAGCAAACAGCAAAGGAAAGGTCTGAAAACCTTGATTTTCCAGATTCTCTATTCATTTTGTGACTGCCAGCTTTATCTGTGCTGCAAAGTATCAAAATATGAAAATGCATTCCTTTTTCCTATTTATAAAACCTGGGAGTTGCTTTCCATCATTGGAAAAAATGTACTTGTATTTTTGTGAGTAGAAACTGTGCATTGGCCAGTAAAATGCTGTGTGCTTGTCTCTCTTGTTATTTTGTTCCAAAGAGCGTAAGATGGCAGCACTACTTCCAGCTGACACAGACAAGCCGATTCTAAAATTCATATGGCAACAGAAGGAGAAAACCTAAAATGATTCCAGAAAGTAGGATAAACCTGGAAGAATCACACTACCCGATTTTAAGACTTAACAGCTCCAGCAGCCAATATGCTATCTGATTCCGAGGATGGAGGGGCTCGTGATAAAGAGAAAGATGAATGGAGTAAATTCACGTTCAGAAATTACTGCAAAACAGCTCAGGGCACCTTCCGTTTGGGAACTGAGATGTTCCTGCACCCAGGGATTTCAGAGCAAACAAGCTAAAAAGAGGCAATGTCTAAAGAAAGAGGCCACTCTGATAGCATGAGGGGGCCCCTGGCTCTACTGCGACGAGCTTGGGCCCTGAGACTGCTCCCAGTGGGCTCCCTTCCTCAATGAAACAGGAACAATAAGACAGAGGAGCAGGCCCGCCATGAAGACGGACACCACACTTCAACCCCCAGGGCATACAGTGAGCCCTGGACAAAGGCCAATGTCCTCGCCTTCCCTCCTCTATTTTCAAGGTCAGACCTATTGTCCAGGCCCTGTAATGTAAGCCCCAATAGGTGTCCAGAGGCAATGCAATGAGGTACTTACCTTTGGTCCTGTGTCTAGTCGGGAGTAGAGTAGGTAGGTATGCAGGTCCCCGTATTTCATGAAGGGTAAAATCACCATGGGCTTTGGCAAGCCCTGAGAGCCCATCTCTATACAAACACCTGAAATGAAGAACCAAGTCTGTCACAAAGAGCCCTTCTCAGCACTGACCAGGAAAGCACGGTAGGGGCACTGGCCAAATTGAAACCACGTGCTCCCAAGTGGACACTTGAAAGGACACATGCTCATAGCTCACATACTGTCTTCTAGAACACAGACACAGTAGGTCCACTGCTTGGTGTGTTCTCTTTCCGATTCACGCCCGTCTTTGCAGGAGAGCTCTCAAAAATTAACCTACAATAAGCACAGCCCTCTGGAGGCCGGCGGAGCTTTTGAGATACTGACTCTAAGTGAGGGGCAGTGACCACACTAGAAATCAAGGGCAAACTCGTTTCATGTGAGAGTTAATACTTAATCAAATGAGGGCATCCACCAAAACCAAATGCTTAAAACTATGAAAAGAAGTTTGGGGGCCATTAGGTAAAATCCATATAACTAAATTTTAACAGTTACATACAGAAAAAACCCATTTATCGTGGAATTCTAGGACACCAGGCTTGCAAAGCCCTTGTACATTTTGGTGCCATGACAAAGCACAATTGTTCTCAGTCTGCTGAAGCCAGTAATTGCAAATGAGTCACAGTCATCTCTTTGACATAATATTGTATCCAAACATGTTTTCACATCCCCCTGAAGTGCCAAAGACACTTTGAAAGTTAAGAGAATTTAGCATTTGTCAAGTCACAAGACAGCTAAAAAAAAAAAAAGTCAGCAGGATGGTCAGTTATTTGTAGGCTGCTCTTCCCTCTTGGAACAGTGTCACTTACACAGCAACCTCTGGGACCTGATCCCCCTTCTTGTTTTTTAGCCAATGGAGCTAAAAGCCACATTCTGGCATTAAACAGCATCCCATTTTTACCACCAGCCTCAGAAAATGTAACCATAAGGAGAAGCCTCTGGGGTGAAGACCCCATGTCATAAAGTACTTTGGGGTCACACCCAGTGTGCACTTCTCTGCCTGGAGGTTTCCCAGTGGACAAAGTGAACGAGCTCTCCTCTGGTCTCCAGTCCCACATTTCTCGAGGTACCTAGGAGTCGGATGACATTCGGGTGGCTGAAGTCTTTCATGCATGCAGCCTCACTGAGGAACTCCTCGATCTCTCGCTGGGAAAAGCTGTCCACTGAAAGGAGAGATGGAAAACATCAGGTGCGAGTGACATACTCGATGAAGGGAGGGACACCAGCAATTTTGTTCTCTAAGAGTAAAGTCAGGTACAGACAAAGCCATGGTGACAGTACACAGATGAGTTTACAGAGGTTACAGAGGCATTACAGAGGTTTTAGGGTAGCGGGACTTCTGTAGGACACTGTGACGGCAGACACATGGCATCATGCATTTGTCAAAACCCACAGGATGGACCACAGAGGGTGACTCCTAATGTAACCCATGGCCTTCAGTCAATAATGCATTAATATGGATGCTTCAGCTGCACAAAATGCAACATACCAATGCAAGGTGCCAGCGACAGGGAGGCTGTGTGACGGGAGGGCGTATGGGAACACTGTCCTTTCCACCCAACCTTTCTGTAAACAAAAAACTGCTCTAAAAATTAAAGTACATTGGTTAAAAAAAATCTCTAAAATCAAATGGAATTGGTCTGTTGCAATCAGCTTTGCCTTTAAAAAGAAAGAAGACGCATCTCTGTCTGTCGGCATGCCTTCAAGTCTGGTTGCTCAACCCTGCCTGTGAGCTAGACAGACATTCATACCAAGATGTTGGGTTTAAACCAACTTAAGAGAAACATTTAAAATCCTATACTGTGCTAAGTGACATCAGACAGTCAAAAGGATACACACTGTGTGACGCCACTTATACGAGGTCCTTAGAAGGGGCAAGCTCACAGGGACAAAAGTTTGGGGGGGTGAGGCTCTTTTAACAGTTTCTGTTTTGCAGGAAGAGAATGCTCTGGGGAGTGCGGGATATGGGGGGAAGAGTGGTTGCACACAGTGTGAAAGCACTTCATGTCCCTGAACTTAAAAATGGTTAGGGTGGTGTATTTTATGTTATGTGTATTTACCACAATTAAAACCATGCCACCCTCCCCCTGCAAAACACACACACACACACACACACACACACACACACACACACACACAGAGCCAGAAGTGCCTTAGGGAATCTGCTCTCACAGGGTACAAGGACTGAGTGATATCACACGAGAGCCTCTTGCACAGTATCTGCACGTTCTATGGGTTTAGGATATATTGATCTTCCTATTAAAGCAAATTTAAAAAAATGTAAGACATGATTCTATAGACCCGAAACCATCTGGCAGACCCAAAACGCTCTCTAGCAGGCGAGTGGGTGGAGAATGGGTGGGGTCTGCTGGCAAACCCTCCCAGGGGGTACCAGTAAGCAGGGAAGCACCAGGGGCCTGTGCTGGAGGCATCTCTAGGTCTTCTTCGGCAATTAGCATGGGTCCAATCCCCACGCAGGCTACTCTAAGTTGAATAGTTAGTTCCTCTGACCAGGTCTGCTGGACCTCCTGCTCAGTAAATGGTGATGATGGAAGGAGCCTTCCCACAGACACACTGCGAGGTTCCAAGGAAAGAATGTGAGTCCGTGTGGGGCTCAAGCCCAGCAAGCGTTCTGATGTGCGTGCTGAAACGGGGACAGCAGCAGCTGTCCTGGGCACACATGAGCAGCCTGAAAAGACTGCCTGTCATCACACCCACGCAAAGCAGGAAGCACCAGCCCACGGACTGGCTGGTTATTACAGCTCCTTTTTATAAATAAACTAAAACTTCAGCCTCTGGTTCTGGTTAGAGTCTCAATACATGCTTTTAATCCAACGTATGCTTCAACAACCAGTAAACAGTGGACTTCAGCTTTAGAAAGAAACCAATTTTACTTTACTCCCCAATTGAAAGTCATATTTAATTTACCCAGGGGTTAATGAGGAAGCGATATTAACACACTAAGCACCAATCCTGTCCACCCAGCACACTGGCAAGATGGCTGCAGGTGACATGCTACTCAAGCGTGCTCTATTTTATGGGTGCCCAGCCCACCTGAAGAATCAGACTGAGACAGTTGTGGGGTCTCATGCTGCCACCGGGTCAGCCCTGCCTGGAAATTCTTTGGCTTTACTAGGTGATGGAGAGAGGGAGAGGGGAGAGGAGAGAGGAGAAGGGAGAGGAGGAGAGAGGGGAGGGGGGAGAGAGGGAAAAGGGGAGAGGGAGGGAGGGAGGGAGAAAGAGCCAGGGAGACAGAATGACACAGGTCACTGCCTTGAGTGGAAAGACTATACAGCGCAGGTAAAAAGAGCTCGTTAAGTAACTGTCCCTCTGTGACCAGGCAGCGCTCTGGGTGGCCTTGGGACCTATCGGTGCCCGACATCATGACATCGGAACTCCATCCTGACCTAGAGAGCACCAGACACTGAAGCAGCCACCTGCACCTGGAAGAATGGGTGTACTGGGTAGCACTCACACTTCATGGTCTTCACGGCCACTTTCTGAGCAGTCCCGTCTTGCTGACTCAGATTTCCTTCCATGACAGACCCAAACTCTCCTGTGAAGTAAGACATTGATGGGGGCCTTGTGAAAAGTCCCTCCTGCCCGTGGCAACACCCAGTGTCAGAGCTGCTGTTTTCACGTGTGTGGCCCAAGAGTGACCCACACACGCAGCCGGGCAGAACTGCCAGGCCACCCACACTTGCAAACCAGGCCCACGCCAGGCACCGGCCTTCTGCCTCTGTCCCCAGCTTGGGTGACTCAGGCTTAGCTCAGTTCATCACTTTATTATAGGACAATATGGAAAATGTTTTTGAAATTCATAAAGTAGGAGCTCTGAATGTCATTATCATTCATCCTGAGATCAGCCTGACAGATTAAATACATATTTTCATCCTTGTTCCTAGGTAAGTAGGAAGGTGCCAGGAACAGTGAACTTGAGAACTAGAGGAATAAATTTAAACGATATAGGAAACTGGCCAATGAATTGCATGGTTTTCACTGAAGGGAATTCCTATTTCCAAGGCCAACAGTGTGCTAGGCACTGTAAAGCCCCCTTTTATGTGCCAAGTCTGCGTTTCAAAAGTTGCTATTTACTTTTTCATTTTAATTGGTAAAATAGGCCTATGTGTATTTATCACTTAAAGTCACAAAGACGGTCTTTAATAAATACATATTTTAAAAAATTACTGGAGGGCCAGCCAAGTGGCACATTGGTTAAGAGCTGGCTTGGGACGCCAGAGGGCCCCGGTTCGGATCCCACATATGAGGGCCAGTGACACTGCCCTCTACAGTTAAGATGCTGAACAACAGCTCGACCTGGAGCTGGGCTGCCGGTGAGTCGCTGGCGACGGCGTAGGCTGCAGCCCCTGCTGCAGTGGGTTGCCGTGGGCTACCGTGTGTAGCCAGCAGCCAGCATGAGCGGCCAGCAGCCGCTATGAGTGGCTGTCCAGAAGCTGGCGACTGATCTGCCTTGCCCGGGAAGAGCGCAATGATGGTGCCAACTTGGGCCAGTGAAGCAAAGTCCTCCACAACTAGACTGAAGAACAAAAGGACGACAACTTCTCTGTTCCCCTTCCCCCAATTCCCCAATAAAAATCTTTAAAAAAAAAAAAAAATAAATAAAAATTAAAAAAAAAATTACTGGAAAAGGCTTACTTTCATACCCCCCATTTTTAAAAGAATTAAACTGCTTACCTTCGCCCAGAATTTTTCCAAGGCTTAGAAGGTGCCTGTCAATCACGACATCTTCCAGCTTATTCTGCAGATCCTCACTGACGCCCAAGCTGCGTACTACAAAGGGAGTGATGGGAAATGTGAGGTGTCAGGGTGCTTCCTTTCATCGAAATATAATTAAAATTATGTATAAAGTCCCTTGAAAAATAGTTATACATTTTTTCATTTTATACCCATAGCTCTCTCCCCTCCCCCAAGTGCCAGTAATAAAACATCACACTTAATTCTGTGATTAAAGTGAGTAAAATGAAAGCTTCAGGGCAAGATTTATTCTGAACATCAGAGCGTGCAGTGTGGTAGCCGGCAACCGGGGTCCTGTCGGGAAGGTTTGCCCTTGACCAGAAGGAGTGAGGAAGAGAAGTCAGCAGGCATTTTCTAGTGGCATATTTACTATTCTAACCCTGAGGACAGGGGACAAAGTAGCCATCGGGCACCACCCTCCCCTATCCTCCTTGCCAGGGAAGGGGGTGCAGAAACCCCATGAAGCACTGAGAGCACAAGGCATATGGAGCCAAGTGATAATGACATGGGAGGTGCTAAACTGAGTGCCTGGTTGGGGCTGGAGAACAAGGTCTTCTATAATCAGGTTAGATATGCAGCACTGACTGTAAGTGCTATCGACGAGAACAACTGACCAGGAAAGGGAGACCAATCAAGGACCACTCAGTATGTGCCAGATAGGGAGTGAGTAAGGCTTTGAAAGAAAAGAATGTGGATAACCAGGAAGGACACATTAGCTCTTAGTGAAAACATTTCACCCTGATGGCCCTCCAATAAAGGAAAGAAACTGGTGTAAATTAAGAGATTTTTAAAAATGCATGAACAAATATCTGAAAGTCAAAACTTCTAGGTTAGAAAAGCAAGGAAATTAACATTCAACATCACCCAAGTCTTTATTTCATAGTATCATCCTTGCATTTGGCTTTTTGTTGTTGTTTTCAGTTTTTTGGCAAATATCTAGAGCTTGCATTTGATAATATTTACACACACTTTCGACTTTGTTTCTGAAATTGTTCAACAGCATAGCGATCTATTCCCTCTGTTCAACTAGAACCGTTCACACTCTGATTCAGCAAAACTCAAACCGTCACTGTTACAAAGTTCTCTGAGTGGGTTGCCAGGAAACAATAGGGAATGAGCTCTGAGATTGTCAGTTGTTCTGCTGTTTCCTTTAAACCCCTGATCCCTACCAGCATCTTCTCCATCATCTCGGACTTCCTCTCCCCCGGTGTGTCACGGCACCAGGAGTCCTTCACCCCACTGCTTTGCCTCAGGTTCCCAGTAAATCGGCTAGTGGGGAAGCACAGGGTGGTGCTTGACTATCTGCCTGCTGCTAGCTGAAGACACCTTCCTTGCACATTAAAGAAATCCGTTCTTTGACTTTTGGCTTTTGTGAAAAACCTGTCAATTCATTTGTTCTTTCTTTGCTCAAGACTATTTGAACATTTGCTTACAAAGGGAAAGGAAAGTCAACTTACAGGTGAGTTCGATGGCTCGCCGACAGAAGGACTTCTTTGCTGTGTAGTTGACGACTAGTTCCAATTCCTCCCCTGTGAAGGCATTTCTGGGAGAGAACAGACACCTCACTCTATGACAACAGCTGCAAGATACATGCTGACCACACTGTCCTGGCTGTCCTGCTCATTTACTCTTCGAGGCACGTTTTCAAATCAGCTTGCCAAGTGGTATCAACAACTCGCAGCAGCTTACATGGTGATTGTGCTGAATTTTTGGTTAACTTTGGGCAAATGATCTCACCACAAAACTGAGCCTTCCCATCCATGAACATGGTACACATTTCCCTGTTTATTTAATTTCTCTTCCACAAAGCTCCTGCGCATCTATTGGGTTTATTCTCAGGAACGTGATGGTTTTCATGCTGCTGTGGATGGGATCTCATTCTAGCACTTTGCTTTTCATGGATTTTAAAACCAGAATCGAAATATTTTCATAACATATAATGTTCTAAAAATTATTACATTTCCTCCTAAAGGAAAGCCAGAAACGAGGGTGCCAAGGGGAAGCTTTGGAAGAAGCAAAAAGGTACTGAATTTCCAAAGACTGGAAAGGACGGCGTTACTACACGCAGTTTCTTGGTTAAGCCTCAGAAGGCAAAGCAACACGCTTCTTCTGCACCCGCCCCTCCAGGTGCTCTCCGCTGCTCATCTTGGGGCCCTCACCTGGCCCTGGGACTCACAAACGCCCCGGAAGCTTTGGTCATCATCTTCTTGGCTCTGTCTTTACTAAGCCTACGTTGGAAGTGATCTCAAGCAAATATGTCTATGCATCCTGCTATATCAATTATTGTTTCCAAAACAATAACCGTGGACTCCCACTTGATGACACACATTTCATGCTGCCACTTGTTCTTGTGGTGGACACCAGCCCCTTAGACTCAGCCTCTCTCAATTACTGAGTCGGAAAGTTTCCATTCAAAATCACAGCAATTAGAACTGGTAATGGCCTTGGAGACCATTTAGAGAGAGATAATACAAAAGAAGGCTGGAAAAGTTATAAGACTTGTTTCCGTGACAGAATGAATGCCGGACCCAGGTGTCACATCCTCTAGTCTGGGGCTTTCCGTCTGTGGGCCAGGCTGCCTGTAGCAAAGGACCTTTGTATGTGTTGCTCTTTATTCAGCTTTTAGCTCAGATGTCAGCTCTGCAGGGAGACCCTTCCTGCCTTTCTTAATGCAATCAAATCTGTTATACACTCTTCAAGTCCTTTTAGATGGAATTGACCACCGTTGCCATTTTTTGTTCACTTGTGTGATTAGCCTGTCTCCCCATTAACTATGAGAGCTGTGAAGGCAGGGGTGGTGGCTGCTTTGTTAATTCACCATGTACCTCGGGTGCCCAGAGTGCCCAACACCTAGGCCTTCGACACACATGGGTGAGCTACTCCTACGTCTTCTGCAGAGGCTCTCCGCGATGAGCCCCCAACCTATGCCTTGACTCTGGGAAGTGGGGGGTGTGGGGTGGTGTTTTAATCAACTATATGTCCAGGGTTTGGATGGCATTTTTGTCCACATCTTTAAAATAGTCATTCTTAGAATTCACATACTGAGACACACTAATGACAAGGACAGAGTTGTAAGTGTTGTGGGTACACAGCCACCACAACTGGGATGGACACGTAGAGGGTGGTCTAGCCTCCCCACAGAAGCTCCCCCACCCTGCCCATGGGGAGATTTGGAGGGAGTGCCGCGTGCTCACATGTTGAGCTGAGAGAGGCTGTACCAGCCACCTCCAAAACACAGACACCTCCTCTCCGCCATTCTGTCCTACACTAAGCTGTCAACAGCTCGCCTCTTCTACAACATACTCCCTCCAACCCATGAGTGACAAACTGGATTTCACGGAAATCCAAACTCACTGCAGAGGAACAGGAGGACACTGAATTCCAGAGACAACATTTATCCATATAGCCTTATTTTCATGGGCCACTTTAACATTTTTCCTGCTATTCAACTACTGTTTGGCTATAAAAGTCAGATGCATAGAAAATAAGAAAAAGAGCTTCTATTAAATTTGAATGTGAGCATATAAAGTTTTTTCTATTAGAGAAATAACTGACCCTCATAGAAAATCTGTAAAATATAGCAAAAAAAGAAAATACAGAACCACTCACAATTATACCATCCATAATTGCTAATGCTTTGGTGAATTTCCTTCTAGTATTTTTATCTGTTTTATTATTATTATTATTATTATTATTATTATTATCATTTTAATAACTAGGATCATTTTAAAGGTTTCTAATAAAAATCCTCATTTAACAGCAACTGACTTTGAGTGGCAAAGGCCTGGCAGGTCCTGGGTGTGAACGAGCCCCTCTGGTCTGGCTGCCTCTGCAGCAAGTGAGGAAGCTGCCAGCTCCAGGGCGAGTGTAAGATGGGGTACCCAGCTAGAACACGGAGGCACTGGTTGGTGGAACAGGCACTGCCACTTGGCATGCCAACCTCATCAATGCTACTGGGCATCTCACCTGGGACACTTACCCAAACTGTGTCTCCTGGAGTCTCTTTTTGATGGCCAGAGAAACATAGATCACCAGCCCGATCAGAACAGATCCACAGATGCAGCCAAGGACAATAAGCACAGGGTCTGTGCTGCCAGGTGCCGGGGTCGACGAGGGGGCAAAATCTACCCAAGCTGGTGGGAGACCAAGAGAAGCGACTCAGAACCCCTCTCCAGGATCCAAAACACCTAAAAAACTCTTTTGTTTGTCACAGGAAGAGCTGATGGCCAGAGGAGTTAGAATTTAGTCCTGGTACGTGCGGTGATCTACAGATGTATGTGGCCCTCGCGGTAACATTATGAGCTGAGTCTGTGCAGAGGGACTTGGGAACCTGGCTAACTCTGTTCATGTCGGCAACACAGGTATGAGGAAGTGAAAAATTGGGAAAACTAGGGCCGGCCGAGTGGCGCGATGGTTAAGAACTCGCTTAGGATGCCAGAAGGCCCCAGTTCGGATCCCACATATGAGGGCCAGTGACACTGCCCTCCACAGCTAAGATGCTGAACAACAGCTCAACCTGGAGCTGGGCTGCCATGAGTCGCCGGCGATGGCATAGGCTGCAGCCCCTGTGGCAGTGGGTTGCCATGGGCTACCGTGTGTAGCCAGCAGCCAGCGTGAGCGGCCAGCAGCCGCAGTGAGCGGCCGTCCAGAAGCCGGCGACTGATCTGCCTCACCCAGGAAGAGCGCAATGATGGTGCCAACTTGGGCCAGTGAAGCAACATCCTCCACAACTAGACTGAAGAACAAAAGGACAGCAACTTGTCTGTTCCTCTTCCCCCAATTCCCCAACACTGTTCCCAACCCCCCAATTCCCCAATAAAAATCTTTAAAAAAAAAAAATTGGGAAAACTAGTACTTTTCTGGTACACTGTAGTTACAACCCTAGAAACGTTGAGAATGAACATATATTTCTTTGTAAACACTTATCAAGAGTAGTGTGACCAGGGCCTGCCTCCTTCTAGTCCTGTAACTTCTGATGTGGACAGAATCTACTTTCCAGGTCTGTGAATTGTCATACTGCATTTTAAATTTAGGTTGGCTCCCAGCAACATATCCTTTGTACTTTTGACCTTGTAAAGTATCTCTGGGAGTTCCTTTGTGGGAAGACTTCGCCAGCGTACCTCCCTTTGGGTCACACTGCCTTTTTGGGTGTGACCGCTCAGTCCCTGAGGGTAGGCCCACCTTCTCTGAGTCCCCAGCTACTTCCCCCAACTCCCCCCACACGCAACACGAAGCCCACCTCCAATGCTCCCTTTTCCTATCCTAGCTGCACTTTCCTCTTTGTTCACCATCTCCCTCTTTCAATTGTCCCTTTTTGTAAAATGTGGGTTAATCACTTGGTGACGAGGAGGCAACAGGGTATGTGCCTTAGATGTGAGTGAAGCAAATAACAGAAGTGCAGTGACTAGCCACCCGTGGGCTGAGAGAAGTGCCTCACTGGTTGCGATCACAACGCCCCTTTTAGGTGTATAGATTTGTCGGCTGAAGAGCTGGCAATGAAGTGTGTGCTCTGTGCCATTCCTCACGTGAAGGTAACTCAAACTTGAATCATCTTGTTCAGGAATGGAGTTCTCTGACTCAATGTGGTGACATGTACGCAAACTGGATCGTGCAAAGCAAGGGCTGCCAGGATAGCAAAGCTCTTTATAACTCTGGAGACCTTAGTGTGTATGAAAGTTAAAGCTCTGTCACCTGAAAGTCTCAACTTTAATCTGTGCCTTTACAATCAGAGTCTCACTGTCTTTGAATTTCTACCAGGCAGACAAGCCTTGTGTGTCCACCCCCAGTTACTCATGGTCCCCAGATACAGAGCCTCAGGAACCATAATATGGCTCTGATTTGGCACTAACAGGAGCACGTGTTTGACGGTCACGGGAAGAGCCAGGCAGGGATGCTGCAGTCTGCTCACAAGCCCCGCCTGCCACAGGACTTGTACGAGTAAATACCCAGGTCACACTGACACACATGCCTGTGCATGGAGCTGGTGACAGTGTTAACATCAAACAACCAGGGGGGTAGAGTAGAGCAAAGGCAGCCCTCCAGGTCTCTGGAAGCGAGCACACGCTTGGACCACTTGGGGCACCACGGAGGCTCCATGCCAAAGGGCACTCGAACAACCTGCAGAAGCCAGCACGCAGGGCTGGGCACTGGTTCAGAGAGCCCAGGGCACAGGAAACACTGTGTCCTACACTGGTCAACACAAAGCATGCTGGCCAAGGATCGCACGGGCAGTGGCACAGCAAGCAGCACTGATGACAAACAGCACAGTGGGCACTGGACACCAGCAAGTGGCAAACAAGACCGTCGTAGAGAGAGGCGCGAGCCACCTGCCTCTCCAGCATTCAGCCGCTGTACATCAGCCAAGTCCAACTTGCTACCCAGAGGGCCACTCCTCCTGTCACTCAGTGCACTTGCAGTGACGCCGGTGGGAGGACTCGCACGTTGGCAGGGCGTGTCCACTCATGGACCCTCTCTACCACTGCCACCATGCCTTTGGCCTCTATTCCTCAGCCTTAACCCAGCCATCCAGCCTGGGTGGACGTGCTCTGTCACCCACAGAGTGCCCGCTCTCACCACGTGCAGGGACGAAGACTTTCACCGGGGCACTGAAAAGCCCCACTCCTCCTTTGGTGACAGCCGCAACCCTAACTGTGCAATTGGCATTGTGTACATGGACGGGGATCTGAGCGTGGCTTCTGTTCTGGCCGACATCTTCAGACAGCTCTTTCTGGGGATGGAGAAGAAAAGAAAGGACATGAGATACCAAGGTACCACAGTTCCTCCTGGGGGAAGTCGCCCCTCCCACACCCCAGGGGCAGCGGCCTGCTTCCACAACATCTCTGCCTCGAACCAACACCGTGGGCTCCTGCTCCTTGCATTTATAAGCATTTTGACTAAAATCTCCATTTAGAAGGGCACCGACACTAGTTTTTTCCTTCCAGTGTGACAAATGTACAATTAGCCCAGTTTTTAAAAATTTGGTTTGATTTCTGTTTTAAAGCCACTGCCATGTAACATGAGCCATGAAAACACAGGAAAGGGATGGCCGAGTGGCGCGTTGGTTAACAGCTGGCTTGGGATGCCAGCTCTGAGCAGCAGGGTCCCAGTTCGGATCCCACATGGGGGCCAATGACCCTGCCCTCTACAGTTAAGATGGTGAACAACAGCTCGACCTAGAGCTGGGCTGCCACGAGTTGCCGGTGACGGCATAGGCTGCAGCCCCTGCTGCAGTGCCAAGAGCCGCTGTGAGCGGCTGTCCAGAGGCAGGCGACCGATCTGCCTGTCCCGGGAAGAGCACAATGATAATACCAACATGGGCCAGTGAAGCAACGTCCTCCACAACTAGACTGAAGAACAAAACGACAGCAAGTTGTTTGTTCCCCTTCCCCCGATTCCCCAGTATTGTTCCCCTCCCCCAGTTTCCCAATAAAATCTTAAAAAAAAAACAAAACACAGGATAAAACTGACTTTTGAAAACATAACCAGGACTAAGTGTTTATACAACACTTTGCCCTTGGATTCCAACCTGGCCTATATTGATGTTCTCTGGTGGCGGATGCTATTGTGTGTCTAGGGCTGGCTTTTCAAATGGGGACTGTTTGGGTGGCAGCTCTAGAAACAAGTCTTTATCTCTGAATTGTGGAGTGCTGTTTCACAGAGAGAAAGAGAGAACTATCACGTCATGTGGGGCACAGATGTCACAGGTCACCCATGAACAGCAGAGGCCTGGTTTGGGGAGTAACTTCGTCCCCTAGTCACTCAGTCTCATGCCAGTCACTTCTAACGATGGTGCAGGGTGGAACAAGCTCAGCCCTTGAGCAGATGGCAGTTCTACCACTTGTGAACAAGGGGTCACCTGGGCCAGCCACCCAGGGACTAATGCTAAATCTACAGACAATGACCATGAGGACTCAGAAATGCCCTCAGACAAGGGATGAAAAGTGAAAATATGGCCTTAAAATGGTTTTTGTTTTTCGACCCCGCTGGACTCCATTGTTGCAAAGAGGTTTAACAGGGTTTTGTCTTGCTGTTAATTAAGTAAACAAATTAATAATTAACTTTTTCTTTTTTTTGGTATATTCAGGCAATATGTGTTTTAGAAATGGAGGATTTTATTTTTGGCAACCCCAGTTTTTTTCATTGAAATATATTTGGCATGCAGCACTGTATAAATTTAAGGTGTACAGCATGTTGATTTGACACATTTATGCATTACAAAATGATTGTCACTGTAGCCCCAGTTAACCCTCTCTCACACCACACAGTTACCTTTTCCTTTTAGAGGTTGGGATAATAATGATCTACTCTTGGTGAGTGTGACGATTACAACACAATACTGTGGTCTGTATTCACTGTACCATAGGACTTATTTACTACTCATTGCAGGTTTGGCGCAAACCTGGTTTTGATTGCAGGCTAGTTGGTCATTCTCTAATTTGGGGGTACAGAAAATCATCAAGCAGAGTATCTCCCTGATCCAAACCCCAGTCCTGCTGCCGTGAGCCAGGCAGATGGCCGAGGGACAACATAGCTGCCTCAGTTTACCACCTGACAGCTCTTCATGCACAACCAGGAGCATGGGCCTGCTTCTGCTCCCTCCTTTTTGTTGACAAAGACTCAAATACAAGACATCATTTATGAGAGAATGATCTCCAAATCAGAGGAAACACACGATCATGAAAGAATTTAATCCCCAGAAGAGAAATGCTGGCAAAAGCAGAACTGCCCTTTGGGGAATAAACATAAAGGCCGTTTATGATACCTATTGTCTTAGGGCCTATGACTCACTATAAAGACCCAGATAAGCTACTTCTTAGTTTCTACCTCCTGGTCCTTAAGTGAGTAAAGAGCTAATCCATGTCAAGTGCTTGGAATGGCGCCTGGCCTGGAGCAAATGTCACCCAAGTGCAGCGATGGGCACCATCACAGCTGCCATCCTCATGCGGAGGCGTGGAAATGAGGCTGGGCACCACTCACTGGCCACACTTTGGGAAATCTATAAGGAATTATTCCACTTTAGGGATGGGATTATAATACACATTGAAGTTGTGATTAGAAAGGTAGATGACAAATATTTTAGTGCAGGTTTAACAATTTTCTCTAATAGGAATATTCTTACATGGCAAGCTCCAATGTAGTTTTAAAATGATCGCTGTTTTTAAAAATTGACATAACTTATCCATTCTGTTTTGAGGCCAAGTGTGTAAAGAGAGGCGTGACCATATCTACATACTCAAATATCATTTTGATTTTGAAAGCTGATAGAGGAACCTGTTTAAAGTCAGACATGTGGGAGCACACTGTATGGGTGTTCCCCTCAGCGCTGGGGGCCGACTGCAGATGGGGGGCTGTGTCCCTGGCATGAAAGGGTTGGTCAAGGGCACACGCTGTGGACCGACCACGTATTTCCTGTTTATGACCCTTTGTTTTTCACCAGCACAGGCCCATCATATCCTCAAGGACTTTGAATCTAAGCGCACTTCTGGGAAATGAAATGGCATTGACTACAAGTCCACTCACGTGTACATTGTGGACCTGGCCTGTCAGGGAATGCACAAGCACATTTTCTATACACAATGTCTTCTTTCTCAAGTGTGGTACTAGATAGTCAGGGCAACCACAGTGGTGTCTGTGACCTTACCATCCCCAGCTCTAGAGGAATTCACCACCCATTCTTTAGTAGCTGGATTTAAGAAGATGGCCCTTCTTACTGCCTCAAAGAACTGTGACATTCAATGAGGAAAGGACGTCCAGATAGAAGTTTCTGTCATGCTCCAAGTTCACAGGCATCAACACAAAACTCTCATGTCTTACTCTCCAATATGTCCTGTTCTGATTTCTTTCTGCTAAGATGCCACATGGTGGAGTTTGAACAAGAGACAAATGGTGGAGTTTGAATGTGAAGAAAGCCAAGGGCATCTGGGTAAGTGCAGGAGGGCTCTGAGAAATACTGGCTTTGAAGTCAGCCAGACCTGGGTTCTGATCTCAGTGCTGCCATTTCCGAACTTTGTGACGCTGGGTAAGTTCTTCAACACCTCTAAGCCCCAGTGTCCTCCAATGGACATTGAGAAGTAGAGTTTCTTCCTCCCCATGTTTTGTAAAGGTTAAGTGAGTTCCTTTATGGGAAACGCTGAGCACGTGGTCTGGTGTACGGCAAACAGTTGACAGGAGACTTCTTATACTGAGTTTAACAGGGAGTTGCATTTGGGTCTTCTTTCCCTACAAACGTAAGTCCTCCTTGCAGAATTGGCCTTGCAATATGTCTCAAGCCCGTCTTGTTCCCCAAACCAAGACGTTTGACCCATTCACTGAGTTTATCACCACTGCAGTTTCCTCCTCTGGGAAAAAAATACTATCCTTGACTGACTCTTGGGCTTCAAAGTGTTTCAGACCTCTGAGTGGCCTGTCTCACAAGAATCCTGCCTGTTCCTTATACCTTAAAATGACACCAGCACAGATGCTCTGCCCTCCTTTGACAGTGAGAGAGAGGGAGGAAGTAGGGAGGGAAGTAGGAGGGGCACAACACCCAGGCATGTAGTGTGTGTGTGGGGGGGTGGGGGGTGGGCAGAGGTCTTGGCCAGGGAGGGACCCCTTGAATGCACTGTGGCTTCCCTCCCAGGGTCTCTGAGGAAGCTGTTCTCCATAACAACTTGCTATGAAACTTCCTTCTGGTCTGGGACCTCCACCTTTTCCAAACATAGTAAACAAGCATTAGAGCCATGGCCCAGAGTGAGGAGCTCCACAAGAATGACCTGTACCAAAGCGAGTCTCTATATAATGTCTGGGCAATTCCTGGGTCAAGATTAAACTTATTTCTTTACTACAGAATATTGTAGAACCTGGAACTTGCAAGTATGCACTTTGGGTCTTTAAGAAAGGGCATCATAATCAATATTTTATAAACTTATTTGCTCACTGAATTCTTTTTCCATCTTATTAGAATGAGAATGGGATGAGAAACACCAGTACACACTCATCACAAGGCTGTCCCAATCACAGGGGGACATTCTTCCCCGGGGTGATATGTCGGCTAGGTCCGTGCATGGAGTCCTCGGTACCATAAACGCCCTTGCTGGAAGTTCATGACCTGCATTCACATGGTGCCAAGATGGGCAAGACATTCTCCAACTTCAAGGAGAACAAACTGTACTTGCTCCTGACCTTTACATTTTGAGCTTCTCTTTGGAAGACAAAGGATATCAAGAAAAAACAGAACAAAAAAAGGGCACTATCTTCATCAAGAGCTAGGAAATGTCAGTACAGTAAATATCAGGAGTTCCTTAGTCTGGAAGTGACACAACAGTTGTGGGATAACAAAGGTATAAATCTTGGAAACTAAGTTTTCAGCACAACCACAATAACCCAGACTTATTAGAATAGTGACTGCAAATCGCTTTAAAAAATAGCCAATTCTGTTGCCTTGCATAACGAAGATGCAGCGTTAGTTTTCTAAAAAACGGAATGAAAGGACAATTTTGAGAGATGAAGTTGTGTTGCCCCTTAGAAATGAAGGATGTTCAGGAAAGAGGTGGAGGGTGCAGAGGTCCTTTCCATGTGGCTTTGGGTTGCAGGCTCCTCCTGGAGCTGGCTGTTCATGTTGTTTCACTGGCTGCCTCTGCACCTCAGCTGGACATTATCCAAGGTAAAGCGAGCCACCGAGTCTTCCATTGTCACAAGACTGTCAAGATGCACAAAGATTAGCACGATTGCAACGCAAATGTCTTCTCACTGGGATGACCCAGCCTCTCCAAGGAGGTAATGACTGGAAAGGTCACAGCCCCAACTGTGGCAGCATTGTTCTCACTGCTGAGGGGACTGAAGGGACCAGTCTGAACAAAGGCTACAAGAATGCACTGCCCAGCTGAGTGTAAGTGGTAGTTAGTGCATTAGGCTCCCCGATGCTGCATCACTCATGGGGCTATCATCAGCCCTGCCCTTCAGCTGGAGGGCCTCTTTAAAGAAGGACAGAGGGTGACCTGCTGCTCACATGTCTGTTGATCACTATCTTCTGCCAGCCAGACAGAGACAGAATTCCACTAAAGAGAGGCACAATGACTGCGCCTTCACGTACTATCCTGAGAAGTTGGTGCTGTTAAAAGGAGCTTTCCCCTAAGATTCGATCCTCCTGACCCAATCAGAGTGCACCGTGCACAATGCCTTAGGACAAACACTAGGACTCGCAGGGGTCCTTCCAGCGTGGCTGGGAGTCTCCTGCTCAGGGTTTGACGTTTGACTGGCACAAGTAACATGCAGCAGCCAGTTCCTATCAGGCACGAGGTTAGGGACTTTGAAGCCCTATTTTTTTCCCTCTACTCATCACCTGCTGCTTCCAACAGTCTGTTTCCTGATAGGTAAACTGAGGCAAGAAAGGAATAACAATACTCCTGGACTGTCCTATTGGACAACAGCAGTTTTAGTAAAAGCTGGATGATGTGAGGTTGAAAATGGCTGAAACAAAGCTTGGATGTCACCAGTGGGTGCAGCTGTTCCCCCATCCCTCTGAACTGCCAAGAAGCCACGTGACTTTCATGTAATGTCCTGTACGAATGCCACAATGATGGCGAAATCTGACCCATCTTCAGGGTTAGACGGACCAGGAACACGAAACATGAAAGAAGCATGCTCTCTGTGATGGCAGTAAAAACACAGCTCTAATGATGGAACCAGGGCATTTTCCCCATCCCAAAGAAGTCAGTGTCACCTCAACCCTCTTCCTTTCTCAAGTGGGAAGGGGACCTGTCTGGGAGCTGCCCATGCCCCCACACCCAGGCATCACCACTCAGCTGTGTCCCCCACTTCTGTCGTGGGTCAAGTGTTCTCACTGTAGCTAGACTGGCCAGCAATCAAGTCAAGATGTCCCTCTGGCTTAACCGGAGTCATGCCTAAAAACATCATGTCCACTGGAACGGCACTCGCTGGTACTTAGGGAGGCAATCACCAGACACCTCTGCTTTCTGTTAGCTGTTGTGCAATGAAACTAGTATTTACACTAGGCAGTCCTTACAGAACCACACAGGCCCTTGCCATGTTTGACGGTAAGGCAGGGACTATGTGACAATCTGACACATGGACGTATCCCTCAGCACAGGCCAGTATTTAATCAATGCTCACTGACAATTCTGATGGTTAACTTTATGTGCTAACTTGGCTAGGCCATGGTACCCAGACATGTGGTCCAACACTAGTCTAGAAGTTGCTACGAAAGAATTTTTTAGATGAGATTAACATTTAGATCAGGTGTTTAGGGGAGAGTGCAAGGTTGTCTTCAGGGCTGGGTACCCTGTACGACCCCTGGCCCTCCCTTTGCCAGCCAGCGTGTACCTCCCCCAGTCACACCGCTGGGCGGTGGAGGGCCAGCCTGGCCCACTGTCTTCTCTACCTTCTCAGCGAGCGGCAGGAGGAAGAGGCTGGGTGACCTGCCAGTCAGTAGTATGCTCCAATAGGAAGAAGGCAGATTTGAAGGTTACTTTTATCACTACATTCAATTTTCTTCCTTGTAAAAGGTTAACAGTCATATGAGCCATCTTTGTAATGTACAACTCTCAAGTTGTACTCCTGGATCAAGATTCTCCTTGGCTCCCTTGCCGTCTACCAAACTCTCTCTGACACCACAGCCAATTTTAGGCCCTGCACACATGGCCACGCCTCTCCAGTCCAGTTTCACCCCTAAAAGCATTTATGTTCCAGGCCCTTGAGTGGGTCATGGTCCCTTCCCCCACCCCCCAAAGCTGTCACATTATGCCTCCTGTCTTGTTATCCTTTTCCATCTGGACTCCTCCATCTTCACCTGTCAAAATTACTCCAAGGCCAGATCAAGTACCACCTTTGCTGGAGAGGTGGTCTGCATGGGCCCTGGGCATCCTTCACAGTCTTGCTGCGCAGGCCAATGGCAAAGCCTACCCATCCCTGACCCTGAGCCTTTCTGGGGCTGGTTGGGTAGGCAGTTAAGTCCGTCAAGGTGGTGGCTGTGCAGAGCATGGGCTATGTGCTTCTCGCTGCACAGGGTGCCGAGCTCTTAGCTCAAGGACCCTCAGTGTCACGGAGCTTGGGAACAGGGAACCTGCGTCACTGTCTGCTATGCCATGAGCGACAACAGCCTTGCTCTGGATCATTGAGTCTCCCATCTAATTTGAACTCCTGTGGAGCTATGTCAGGTAGCCTGGTGTTTGCTGAGCTCTCTGGCTACCTCTTGACATTCTCTGTGCAGCTGGGTTCTTCCCTGACAATCTTCTTCAGAAATGTGTTCTCTGGTATTTCCAAGAGGCTGTGAATTGCCAGCCTGCTAAGCCCTGTTGCTCCTTGACCTTCTGCTATGATTACCTGGATGGTCACAGGGTCTTCCTACAGGAGCCCAAATTCCTTGAGGGCAAGAATCAGGTGATAACAGAGATGAGCTCCACATACAGGTACTGCATCAATAAACAAGTGAGTGGATGAGTGAATGAGGCTAGTCCCAATGAGGCTAGAGCCCTTGGAATTTTATAAGCATTCAGTCACCTCCAATTTTAATGACATTCTTTGTCTCCCACTGAAAGGTGCCTTGCCCAACTTAATAACACCTGGTCTGCTCACAACAAAACCAACGCTTCTGAAAAAGCACTAAGCCAGCAAATCAGAGGAGATGTGCACTCTGTTTGCACTCGACTTACAGAAGCGTCGGCACTCTGCCACACGTGAGATATCCGGAACCCCACCAGGTCCCCGTCCTGCCGCTCAATTGGAGGCTTGATCCATCTGACATCCACCTTGTTACTAGATTCATTCAGAAACACAGTGACGTTCAAGGGTGCGACTGATGGGGCTAAAAAGGGAGAAGAGAGAAGGATGAAGAATCACAAAGAAAAGCACACAGGTAGAGACCCATTCCCTTCTTGGCTTTCAAATGTTCTACGGGAAGCACTCAGCTGAGACTAAGACGAAAGGCAGATTTTCACCCTCTTTTCAATTAAGAAACCTTGAGATAATATATAAGTTTTAAAAAGACAGCCCTTTCCAAACTAAAAAGACAAAGAAGAGGAAGGCAGGGAAGACGGTAGTGTTGCTTGTGGCCCCCTCCCAGGGAAGCAAAGCAGACACAACTTGAACAGGCTTTTCAACTAGAAACCTGTGGGGCAGAAGGTCAACCAGAGTGACTGGAAGTCAGATCTGTGTCATGTGTGATATACAAAGCAGGGAACTCTGCTAGCTCAGAAGGAAGCCACCACTTTCAAGTCCAGAAGCCGGTGAATGATGGTCTGAACAGAGCTAATCAGTCAATAAATTTTCATATATTATACATGTGAGATATTTAATTATGGAAGATCAGAGGATCAAATGTTAATTACTGGGCTAAGTGTCAAAATGGGAGCATTTAGCACTGGTTTTCATGTTCTAGTTTACAGTAAATCCTACTAAGTCACATACCCACTTCATATCCAAATGTCTGCTATCTCTTACACAGACACAAGGACAATAAAATCTAAAGTACTTTGGTGGTGGGGGGGGGAACCAAAAAATAATTTATAATATTTTTTTTTTTCCCTACAAAGTAATTTGAGAACAGGTTAAGGTCATTATTACTACAGTGTTTTTTGGGAAGAAGGAACTTGACTGTATCTATTAAAACTAAAAAAAATATGCTCTTTGACCAAGTATTTTATTTCCAGGAATTTAATCTAGAAAAATTTTCCTGTAGCTGGTATTATAGTCATTGAAACATAATAGTGACAAAGGAATTAATGTAATGCTCAGTTAGTAATTGTGATATAATAAATTTTGATCCATTTTCCAATAGAATACTTACTACCCAGCTAGTGAAAAAAATTAGGTGGATCATACAAGTATGTATTGAAATGAAAAAATATCTAATGGAGGGCAAGATCAAACTGCTAAAAAGTATGTATCAAGAATATATATATATAGGACCAGCCAAGTGGCGCGATGGTTAAGAACTGGCTTGGAATGCCAGAGGGCCCTGGTTCGGATCCCACATATGAGGGCCAGTGACACTGCCCTCCACAGCTAAGATGCTGAACAACAGCTCAACCTGGAACTGGGCTGCTGTGAGTCGCCAGCGACGCGTAGGCTGCAGCCCCTGTGGCAGTGGGTTGCCATGGGCTACCGTATGTAGCCAGCAGCCAGCGTGAGCGGCCAGCAGCCGCAGTGAGCGGCCGTCCAGAAGCCGGCGACTGATGTGCCTCGCCCGGGAAGAGCGCAATGATGGTGCCAACTTGGGCCAGTGAAGCAACGTCCTCCAAAACTAGACTGAAGAACAAAACGACAGCAACTTGTCTGTTCCCCTTCCCCCAATTCTCCAATAAAAATCTTAAAAAAAAAAAATGTGTATATATTAAAAAAAAAAGAATATATATATACGTGTGTATATATATATATATATACATATATACATATATATATATATGGAATAAAAATAATTGGAATAATATATATCAAACCATTGCCTGTAGTTGTATTTAAGGGAGATTACATTATATATTTCTGATATGTCTGAAAGGAAAACAAGAGGGAACTATAATCCTTTTTGACTCTGCTGATTCCAGGAGCAGTTAGATGAATTTCAGTTTAGGACATGTCATACGGTCTCACGCAGGGCTAAGAATAGTCTGTTCGCAGCAATCAGACTGGAAAATCTAATGATTCAAGGAGCAATGGGCAGAGTACACATAATGGTATTGTCTCAATAGCAGGTAATAATTGACGCTAGACTGAGCAAGCACTGTTCTGGTCCTGGCTCACAAATCTTAAAAGCAAGATTCAAAAGGATCAAATTTTTCCCAATAGTTTAACAGTATCCCAAAACAAAGCTCAATATTTATAGGAAAACAAAAATACCTAGCATCCCACAAGGTTAAGTTCACAATGTTGGGGAGCCAATCAAAGATTACCAGGTATGCCAAGCAACTGAAAAGTACTCTGTATAACAAGAATATAAATGACTCTATCAAAACTGCTCCAGAAATAACACAGATGTTAGAATTAGTAAGGACATTAAAACAGCTATTATAACGGTATTCCATAAGGTCTAAAAGTTTAGTAGAAACATAGAAGATACAAAAAATACAATGTGAGAGATGAAATATACGCTGGATAGAATGGCAGATTAGATACTGCACAAGAAAAGATCAGTGAATTTGAAAACAGAACAATAGAAACATCCAAAATAAAACACAGAAAAGCAGGGGGAAAAATTAAGAGCATCAATGAGTTATGAGGCAACTTCAAGTGATCAAATATATGTGTTAATTGAAGTCCTCAAAGAGGAGAGGTGGGAACAGAAAAAAATATTTGAAGAAATCAGGGTTAAAATTGTTCCAAATTTGATGCAAACCACAAACACACAGATCTAAGAATTCAATGAGCCCCAAGCATAAGGAATGTAAAGAAAACTACTCCAAAGCACATCATAATTTAATTGCTCAAAATCAATAATAAAGGGAAAACCAGAGATAAAATGTATATAGAAACATAACATACAGAGGAACAATTAAATATTACTGCAGATTTCTTATCAGAAATAATTCAAGCAAGAAGACAATGGAGTAATATTTTTGAAGTATTGAAAGGAAAAAAATGTGAATCTAGAATTCTGTATCTAGTAAAAATTTCTTTCAAAAACAAAGGCAAAAGAAATACATCAATGATAAAATAAAGATTTTTCTCAGACATACAGAAGCTCAATTCTTCACCAGAACCATACAATAAGAAATGATTAGTCCTTTATGAAGGAAAATGATACCATGCGAAAATATGGATGTACATCAAAAAATGAATAACATTAGAAATGGTAACTTTATCGGTACGTATACATGTTTTCTAATTATAGAAATCACTCTAAAAGATTATTGATTGATGAAACAAAATAATAACAATGTAGTGTGAGTATATAACATATGTACAAGTAAATGGGGGACAACAATTGCACAAATATTGGAAGGAGAAAATGCACATATACTATTAGAAGGTTCCTACACAATACGTAAAGTGGTATAATATCACTTGAGGTCAATGGTGATAAGTAAACACATATAATATAACCCTGAAACAACCACTAAAAGGATAGAAAACAAGAGTTGTATCAAATAAGCAAAGGAGATAAAATAGAATAAAAAATATTTAATTAACCCAATAGAAGGATGAGAAAGAAGAAAAGGGAAGCAAATTACAGACAGAACAGATAGAAAATATGAGATTTAAACCTAGCCATATGAATAATCACATTACATTTTAATGGATTAAATACCCCAATTTAAAGGCAGAGATTGAAATAGATTAAAAAGCAAGACCAAAGAATATGCTGCATATATGAAACACACAATGTATAGAAAGATATAAAGAAGTAGAAAATAAGGATGAATCAGATATACCATGTGATCAAAAGAAAAATAAATGACTATTATATATTAGAGTAGATTTCACAAAAAATATTACCAAGGATAAAGAAAATAATTTCATAATGATAAAGCAGTCAATTTATTAGGACAGCACAGCAATATTAAACATTTATGCACAAAATAACAGCTTGAAAATATTTAAAGTAAAATCTGCTAGACATGCAAATACAATAAAAATAGGTAAATCCACAAGTATAACTAGACTTCAATGCCTCTTTCTTAATAATTGATAGACGTGGGCAGAAAATCAATAAGAACACAATTTGAAAAACAAGATCAACCAACTTGATGAAGTGACATTTACAGAGCACTCCCCTCTAATAAGAGCAGAATACACGCTCTCTTCATGCGCACACCATTTATCAAGAAAGACCATATTCTAGGCTATAGAACAAGTCTCAATAAATTTAAAAGGATTCAGTGATACAAATTATGTTCTCTGGCCCCAACAAAATGAATTTAAGAATCAATGCACAGGTCTCCAGAAAAACCCCAAATATTTGGAAAGTAAGTTACACACCTAAACTAAGAATGGGTCAAAGAAGAAATCAGAGAGTATCCTGGACTGAGTGAAAGCAAGACTTGGCATATAAAAATTATTCTCAAATGCTTTCCTTCCTTGTTTGAGGAAAGGAGACATTTTACAATCTGGGCACTAGAGCTTCATTTGTGGAAGGATGGAGAGCTAACTGTTTCTGACTGAGATCTGTGCCAAGGTCTGTACTAAGAGGAGAGCGCTGATTGTGTGAGGCTGGCGTGAGGGGCAGGAAAGAGGTTCCAAGTGGTCTAGAAGTCTACGTCGGGAAAGAATAGAGTTGGTGCAAGGCAGATTGAACACTAGTCATTCCACTAGTCATAGAAAAGGGAAAGAACCTCCGAATTCAAAAGCAGCACACAGAAAATCCCTTAAAGTTTAAAGCTGTAAGTTGAGTTTGCTATGAGCAAGACAACATAGAGAAAACAGTCCCTAGTCCATAGGGCTGCTGTGAGGATCTAACAGAAAAGTGCATGTAAAGCACCTAATGTGCATAGTGTTTGGTGAACGTGAGCCCTCTTCAAATTAGTTAGTTCTCTTGTGTTTGGTGCTATGAGTAATAACTTTTATTATATATATATATATATATATATATATATATATATATATACACACACACACACACACACACACACACACACACACACAGGGCACCAAAAAATGTATACACATTTTAAGAAAGGAAAAACCTGTATTAAATTTACGCTGATGGTAACCACTTTGAGCATCTCTTGTAACTGCAGAAGTCAAACGTGACTAGTATTCACCTTTTGTTATCAGTATATATTGAGTATTACAATTTTTTCCTTTCTTAAAATGCATATACATTTTTTTGTCTGTCTGTCTGTCTGTCTCTCTCTCTCTCTAAGCAAGCAAGCAGTGAATTTATTGATTTATTGAAAGAAAGAGGATAGGACAGTATACTCCTGGAGTAGTGGGAGTGCGCAGGCTGGGAGAACAGGCACTGCCTATTATGTTATATTTTAATTAAAAATAATGTACGCTATAAAGAGTGTGGTATTATTCATAATTTCCTATGCGAAAGAAAATATGACCTATCCATAGTTAAGTGTTAAGTTTGTCACTAACCCTTTGAAAGTATAGAAGGAAACACCTTCTTTCCCATTTTCATTGGCCACGTCAATAAAACTTTCCTCCAGAGACGAAGACCACACAAAACAAAACTGAAACTCCAGACCAGGCGGCTGGGAAGGTGTGTTCAGCTATATGCTGTGAAGGGCAGTGCTCTGAACCAGGAGTTACCTCCTTCGGTTGTGCTGGCCAGGACCCAAGGGCTCAGCACAGACCAGCCGACCTCATTCCTGCAGGAGACACCAACGCTGTAATTCTCCAGGGCACGCAGCTGCTCGATTTGATACACAGGTGGCGAAGCAGAGGTGTTAAAGGTGATGATGGAGCCATTACTCAGCGGATCAGCTTCCTGGACCTAAGTAAAGAGTGGACACGTGGACCAGGATGAGTAAGGTGGCGGGAATGTCAGACCCGGGCTCTGAGGCTTTCCGTGCATGTGGCCTTCCTCTTCCGGGGGGAAGTACCTACTTCCTTTCAGGCCACACACCAGTGTCCCCACCAGCATCCCTAAGCGTTACTCACACTGCTGATGGTCCTGAGGAAAATGCCTAAAAGCAGCATGTACACTGTGGCTATAATTTATATTATAATACAATATAAAGTAGCCCTTCCTCCCTTAGAACCCATGCAATTCTCAACTGCATTCAGCTGTGTCACAGAAATCGCAGCAAAGGCAACAGGCGTCATATGCGAGGACCAAGCCTGAAGTATTACTACCCGGACTTTGAAGAAAACCGTGCCCAAATCCTACTTTAGAAGAGGAGATACTGGATTTTTAAAAAAATCTGTGTTTCTTTTCATTATGTAGCCTGAGTACCTCTGCTGTTCCTGGAGGCAAATTTTTGTGTGTCCTTTATTCTCCCCCCACTCAACCCCAGTATGAAGTCACTCCAATAGCATACATAAGGCTGATTTTATGACATTTCTTAGTGGGGAGATTTGTCATTTACACCTCACCCAACAAAATGTTCTCCAAATCTCTTTAAAACGCATCAGCTCTTTCCTCTGAGTGCCTTCTTCATTGTTCCCCCATAAACCCCACCAGTCTCTCCACAGCCCTGTCCAGATGTCCTCTGCATGCACAGTCAAGAGAGGGGGTTCCCAGACAAAACCACGTCTTATGCCACACTTCCACCCTTTTCCTTAAGCTCACCTCCTGTCTGGGAATGGAGATACGTGAGAATGGTTGTTGTTTATTTTCACTACATGTTTTTCAAATTTTCTGTGGAATGGCGTACTTATAAAATCAAAAAAGACAAAATGATATTGAATAAAACAGAAGTAACCAAAAGCAAGTCGGGGAAAAAAATCTTAAACCTTGTATTTATTCCCAGTCATAATGGGCTTGCAATCACAGGGTGTGCATACCCAATGCTGTTATTTCAGGACACACGTGTTGCAATTTAAGCCAAGGGGACACAAATCAACATTTGGAACTCCAAATCCACTAGTGATACCTCGAGGGGTGTTGAGGCCAGATCCTCAAGACTCCACTGGGTGACAAGAAGCCACCAGAGAAGCAATGAGCAATGTGCTTATTTAGGAGGTGGTGGTTGGCAGACAGCACTGTCTGTTTCTTCACTTCAGAGTGTGCACCTCCTTCCTGGTGACCAACCATGGAAACTAAGGTGGAGGCAACCTGTGTCCACCCGCCCATTTCAGGAGTACTTCCAGGCACAGGGCGTCCTTTGAGAGCACATTCCTGGAAGAAAACTGAGTTTTCTTCCAGTGGGTCCTGGGGGAAAAGAGGGCATGAAATGGCAAGTACGTGGGAGAGTTAAAAATAGACGTGGAGTATGCAGCCCAAAAATGGGTGAAGAGAGGAACTCACGTCAGTACCAAAGGAAGTGCGAGGGTGTGTCCTACTACGGTGTGGACCTGAATCTCAGCCAAAACATTCATTTGTTACCAAGTCAGAGTTTGAAACTGCAATGGACTAGGAATCTGCTACAAACTACAACTATCTTTGCTTCCTTCAGAAATGGGAAATATTGTTAATCATCAGAACATGTAAGTGTAACAGCTCAAGCCAGTCCTGACCAAACCTGCCAGGGCCACCAGAGGGGATAAGGGACTGGTTATATTTGAATTTCAGGTTCACAACAAATAATTACAGGTATAGATATGCCACAGAATTACTCATGGAATTTAACTTGTAAAATAACTTTCTTCTTATTTGCTAAATCTGGTTGCCCGACCAGGCATGGAAAAGAGAAAGGGTGAGGGGAGGCTGACCTGGCTGGTTGGCAAAGACAATAACCAAGTCGGCACCACAGGATCCAAGGTGGGTGAGGGAGGCCCTCAAATTGGCGCTCACAGGAAGCTTGTTCACTCAGGCCAAGGCAAAGAGACAGGAAGCTGGTGAATCTTGTGTGTTACTTCTCCCACCTTCAGGGAGACCTGGTGTTCTCAGACCTTCCAACTGCCCTATTCCGCCTCACGTCTATCCTGAGCTGCCCCTCTCTCGAGGTGAGGCAGCTCTTCCCCAAGGTCCCCCTGAGAGCAACCATCCTCATGTGGGAGGAGCCCCATGTCCTCCTGGGCTCTTCTAACAGCTCAGCAACTGGGTAACAGTTTTTAAAAGAGCTGGTCCATGCTTCAGTGGTATCCCCATCTAGGGAGACAAGCCCTGGTAGTTCCCAATAACAGAGCCCTGAGATACTTGAAGAAAACCTGGCAGAATTGAAGGAAGAAATAGACAATTCGAAAGCAATAGTTGATCTCAACTCCCCTCTTTCCATAATTGGTAGAACCACTAGCTAGAAGAGTAACAAGGAAACAAAAGAACTGAACAAAAGTACAAACTAACTTGACCTGACAGACGTAGAATACCCCACCAGCTCTGGCCAAGTGCACACGAAGTAGTCTCTGAGATAGAACTTAATGCTGGGCCATAAACAAGCCTTGATAGATTCAAAAGGGTGGAAATCGTGCCCGTGTATCCTCCAAACACGGAGTAATATTAGTAATACTACTCCAAATGTGAATAATATTACTCTAGGGCTGGCTGATTGGCACGTGGGTTATGAGTTGGCTTGGGACGCCAGCTTTGAGCAGCAGGACCCTGGTTCAGATCCCACATGAGGGCCAATGACAGCTAAGATGGTGAACAACAGTTCAACCTGGAGCTGGGATGCCACAAGTCGCCGGTGATGGCGTAGGCTGCAGTGGGACTGGCTGGCAGTGGGTGTGAGCTTTTGTGAGCTGCTGTGAGCGGCCGTCCAATGGCCAGCAAGTGACTGCCTCACCCAGGAAGAGCGCAATGATAATACCAACATGGGCTAATGAAGCGACGTCCTCTACAACTAGATTGAAGAACAAAAGGACAGCAACTTGTCTGTTCCCCTTCCCCAATTCCCCAATACTGTTCCCCTCCCCCAATTCCCCAATTAAAATAATAATAAATAATAATAATAATAATACTCTAAACGGAATAAAATTAGAAATCAACAAAGAAAGAACATTGGAGAAATTCACAACTATGTGAAAATTAAACAATGCACTACTACATTACCAATAGGACAAAAAAGAAATCACAAGGAAAATGACAAAAAACTTGAGATGAACAGGAAAAACACCAAAAAAACCCCAAAACTTATGGGATGCAGCTAACACAGTGCTTAGAGGGAAATGAATAGTATATTCACACCTATGTTAAAAAAGAAGACATTTAAAACAATCACCTAACTTTCCACCTTAAGAAATAACAACAAAGAAAGAGCAAACTAAGCTAAAGCAAACGGAAGAAAGGAAATAAAGATTAGGGCAGAAATGAGTGAAAAAGAAAACAGAAAAATTCACAAAACCAAAAGCTCCTTCTTCAAAAAGATCAATAAAATTGTGCTTTAGCTAAAGTGACCAAGGAAAGTAAGAGGGGAAACCTAAATTATTAAAATCAGGAATGAAAGAGGGGATATTACTACTAACAACAAAGAAAAAAAGATTATAATGGAATATGAACAACCGTATACCAACACATTAGATAACTTAGAGGAAATGGACAAATTCCTAGAAAGACACAAACTGCCAAAAGTGACTCCAGAAGAAATAGAAAACTGGAATAGACCTTTAACAAATAAAGAGACTTTTGAGTCAGTAATAGAAGAAAACCCCCCACAAAGAAAAGCCCAGGACCGGACAGCATCTGTGGTGATTTCTACCAAATATTTAAAGAATTAACATCAATCTTTCACTCAGTGTTCCAAGAAATAGAAAAGGGAACATTTCCCAACTTGTCCTATGAGGCCAGTGTCACCCTGATAACAAAGCCAGAGAAAACCAACACAAGGAAACTACAGCCCAGTGTCTCTGATGAATACAGGTGCTACATAGAAGTGATGGCTGCACAACTCTGCAAATATACTAGAAATTCCTGAATTGTATGCTTTGAGTGGGTGAATATTACTGTGTGTGAAATACATCTCAAGAAAAAGCTGTTAAAATAAAGGCTATCCCTGGTGAGGGCTTGGTAGACACACAAGAACTCCTGACACTTGACAGTGCTTGGGCGGTTTACAAATAAAGCTGGGCAAGATATAAGCAAGGCTGGGGCAGAGGGGCGAAGGTGAGGTTATGGCGGTGGCGGGGCAAGGGTGAGGTGACTTTGGGGGTGGGGGTGCGAGGGTGAGGCTATGGGGGTGGCGGGGCGAGGGTGAGGCAACTTTGGGGATAATACATGCTTTTGCTCTTCGGAGCAGTAGACAATAGTGGGGCAACAGGAGTGGAGAAACAAATTCTATTTGGAGTTAAAAACATCTGGTGTCAACACATAAAATTCTCTGGAGGTCACAGTCACTTCCTTAAACTGCATGGACATAAGCCGCCCGTGTCAGCTTAACATATTTGTAACTAATAGGAGCAGGCATTATGAAGCTGGGCACCGTGCCTACCCTGCTGTATGATAAAGTGCAGGGCAGAATGCATCCACGTTGCCAGAGGACAAGCCACATGTGTCCCCTGCCTGCTCCCATATGCAGTGTCTCTGCTGACACTCAGAGGGGCAGGTGGGTTGGGCACAGCTCGAGGCACCAGCTGCCAGGGCTTGAGTTCTAAGTTGCCATGCTGAGCTCTGAGGTGGCAGTGCTGCTGTGGGTGTCGGTGACACAGCATCCGCAAAGCCCTTGGGCTGAATGCTTCCCTGCCCCTGCCTACCCCCCCACCCCACACAGGACACAACAGGGTTCCTTCTGCCCCTTCCGTGTTTATGAGGCTAGCACTCAGCAGAGCCCACATGGTGGCATGGAGTCACTCACCTCTATTTCTTACAGCACCATTTTATACCAATTTTAGGAAGTGGCTAAAAATAGGTAAGACTTTGCAAGGTCTGTAAAGCCCAGGTTTCCTGGAGCCATGGGCCAAGGTGCCACATTTGACTGGAAAGGTGGCCCGGCTCAGGCCTGCACATCTGTCCTTCACGGCCACCAGTCCTGGAGGAGCCAGGCTGACGAGTACCTGGCTTCTGGAATGCCTGGTCACAAGCTAGCTCTAACTTAGAAATGTGTTCTTGCGCCTTAACAGTGAATTCTCCCAGGCTCATGGTCCCCTTCTGTTTGGGCCCTAGCTGTGCACAGGAAGGAGACAACGTCCTGGAACAGGGCGCCATAAGATGGACACTGAGCAGGGAGGGGTCAAGGCCTCTGAATGGAGGTGCCAAAGTGCCCTCAGTGTCCAACCTCAGGAGGAAAAGCCAGGGAAAACACAGGGAACCAAAGTCCCACTTTGTTCTGTGCCCTGAAGGTCTGTTTACCTGGATGCTGCAACTGCTGAGCGGGGAATAGCCATCAAAGCCCGGGACCCAGGAGATGAGGATGCCATGTGAGCTCCGGTTGTGAACGCTGACTTCAATTGGTGGGGAGGGAAGTGCTACGTAAAACACAAGGACACACACGCAAACACATTATAAACCACAGGAGGCTACAGTGACCACACAGATGCTTTAACACCAAGCCTTTCTGTTTAAGATTAAGAGAATCAAACACAAGTCACTCTATGCCTGAAGGTGACTGTGTTAGCCTACGACAGGCCTTCCAGTGATGGGGTGGCTCTGCCTGGGCCACAGAAGGGGGACGCAGGCCTGCTCTCCAACCCACAGATGAAGGGAGAGCGTTTAGCTAGAAAAGGAGGTGGAGACATCTATCTCCTTCACAGAACTCACATCCATGGTCCCACTGTGTGCAGGCACCTCGCTGGGCGCTAAATGGGTACGGAGAGCCACTGTTGTGCCCTGGCAGAGTCTCGGCTGAGTGGGGGATCCATGTGAGCAAGATTGAGAACGCCTTGTGCCAAGAAGAGAGGGTGCCACAGAAGCATGTGTGCATGAGTGTGCGCATGCATGTATGTGTGTGCGTGCATGTGTGCATGCACACGTGTACTGCATGAATGTGTGTGTGCGCACCTGTGTATGTGTGTGTATGTGTGCATATGCGTGTGTGTATGTGTAGGGGAAGGAGAAATTTTCAAGGCCAAGGAAGCAGCTCAGAGTCAGCTCAAGCAAAAGCCCACTTCCTCTGCTGAGGGGGCATGAGTGTGTGATGACTTCGCCACATGTGGGATGTGCACAGGTATTTCCACTAGAATCTAAGAAGGACCTGGACTTTGGGGATCTTATTTTCTTGTGCTAAATCTAATTCTTAGTTAATAGCAATAATCACACTTATAACAAAAAATGATGACTAATGATGTATGGCCCACTTTCTGATCTCCACTTCCTTGAGTCACTATTGGAACCCCATCAGAGAGCTCTTCTTACCACCCCCATTTATGGATGAGGAAACTGAGAATCAGAGCAGTTAAAAACTAGCCAAAGGTCACAGAGCTTGTAAGCAGTAGAATGGGGACCTGAACTTAGGTCTGCCTGACCCCAGAGCTCGTGTCCCTTAACAGGACATGGGAGGCTGGTTGAGAGAACTGCAAGCAGACTGGTGTGAGCACCAGCAGGGACTGGGTGTCTGGTCACTGCTTGGCCAGCTGCGTGGCCCAGGGCACAGTTGGATGCTCTCTCTAAACTCAGTTCCCTCTCCTAGTCATGGGGATAGTGATATGGGCTGTGGTGTGGACTAAATGAGCAGACATGCACGAGGCCTGGGGGAGGCGTGGAGGTGGGAAAGGTGATGAGGGGATGGCAGGAGGGCTGGGGCCACACTCAGGAGCTTGTTTTACCAGTTTTACACGCCGCTTGGTGAGTGGGAAAGAATGAGCACTTTGTTTGGCTCTCTTCCCTAAACAGATTAGTTGTAGAACTGCCCTAAAACGTCTTTCCATCAAAATTTGGCCACAGATACTATAGCCAATAACAGACTAGAAGAAGGGAGTCCTGGTTGCTTTGACATAAAGTTTTAAGTGAATGAAAGCCAAAAACCTAAGTTTTGGAAATAGGGTTTATTAAAATATATATATATATATATATATATATATATTGGACATTCTGCATGAAGCATAAAATTAAAGAAGTACTTCACTTTTATGGATTTTTAAATTTTAAGATATTCATACTTGATGAAAATGTCTATCAATTTACGCCCACTCATGAATTCCTGAAATTCCCAACATTTCTTTTGGAAATGGTAATAATGGTGTTGGGAGTGAAGGAAGGAAGTTGTGCGAATAATGTGTGATGTGCTCAGTTTTTCCTCCCAGCGGACTTTTAGAAAACGCGAAATGCCCTCTCATCGCCACCTCTAGTTGACTTGCTGAATCTAAACATCAATCAGCGCCTTTTCAGAGTTTAGCTTCCTTTGTCATTTCAAGTCCCCTGCCCTGTATCACCCCACCTCTAACTTGGTATTATATTCATTCTATTTTCCTGTATAGTTTCCCCCAAGGGCAGGACCAACAGCATTGACTGCTCCTGAATATTTAAATTAAGAACTAATACTGAAACATAAAATGTGCTTGTATTTCTGTGACAGGAGGTAGAGATGATTTGAAAAGGGATAAAGAGACAGTTTTTACGTTTAGGCCTTCCTTTCCTTTCATGGTTCAGCTTAAATGACCCCACAGAAGGAGGAGGAAGGCAGATGACAGGAGTGGAATGGCTCCACTCACTGGGGGACCTTCTGTTAGGTTATGGCCCAGCACAGAGGTAGCAAGAGAGACAGGGAGGTGAGGGCCAAGGGGCAGAAGTGCTGGGCCCGGAAGGACAGTGACCCTGCCCTGTTCCCCATCCCTCGAAGCAGCAGCTGGCAGACTTGCTTCAGCCCAGTCCTGGGAGGATGGAGCCCATTCTTGGGTGGGTCAAGGTAACATTTCAGCCTCCTTTCTCAGACTAAGCCCAGCTAAGCTGGCTAATGTTTATAAACTTACATGCTAGGCACCAGTGTGAGTGCTTCCATGGGTGGGATCTCAGTGAAGCCTCAAGAATAGGTAGGCTCTGTCATTATCCTCATTTTACAGAGGGAAATGCTGAAGCCAGAGGGGTGGGTGACTTGTCCAAAGTCACAGAGGTGGTCCGTGCGGAAGCCCAGGGTCCTGGCGCAGGCCTCACACTGTTCCCCCACCCCCAGCACCCAGCCGTGCATGAGGGGCCATCTGCTGCTCACCTTTGATGTTGACCTGTACGCCCTTGGACACAGTCAGCCCCTTGTCATTATGGGCCTCACAGCTGAAGACCGCTGTCTCCGTCAGACCTGGAGCAGAAGGGGACTGTGAGACGGGCACAGAGACACAGGTCGCTGCTGAGCAGAGCCCTCCGTGAAGGTGCCTGGGCACGCTGCACTTCTTGGCTCATCACTGCAAGTCTTGAAGGCAAAGTTAGTTTTAAATGTGTGCTGGTGTTTGAAAAACACACACACCCCTGGGATTAAACCCTAAGTGCCAGGAGCCAGACAACCAGGCCGAAAAGGCAGCTGCTTTCCACTCAAATCCTTTCTTTCTCCCTGATGGAGAGACGTCAGGTAACAAAGCAGTATCTTTTTTTTTTTTTTTTTAATTTCTGCAAGGAGGTATGGGACTCACTGGTCCCAACATCAGGAAAAGACAGTCTGTTGCGGCTTGGCTGTCCAGGCCACTCTATGTCACATACCATGGACACTTCAGAATTCCAGAACCAGCAGGATAAAAGCCACAGTTTAAAAAGTTTCAGATGATCTGCTGTGGTGCATCCTCTTTTAATTGGCCAATACATAAGGAATTATTATGCAACACAAGGCAGTATTACTACAGATCCCTGGTTCATAAATTTCAAGTAGAAAGGAAGAGAGGTAACCCAGGTCTTGGGTCCTAAGTTCATTTTCCAATGAAAGAACCTGGGCTTCTTGGAGGAATAGCTGATTCTCAGATAAGGACGGGAAACATGTAAGAGGAACCTGGGGCAAAATGTAACACAAAAACAGTCTCTCACTCTCTATGATGGGGGAATGGCACAGAGGCACAGGAGCCAACGGAAAGAGCTCCCAGTGGCCAAAGCTGGAATAATTTGAGCAAGAAAATAAATAAAGTACTACTGGATTCTAACCCAAACTATAAGATAAATATCCTCGAGTCTATACTGATATAAAAAAACGATTAAATGATTAATAAAAGGAGACAACCTCCCATGCATGAGATCCCCCCATAATCAGCATGCACATTCTGCCTTCAGGACGGAGCGTAACTCACCCTCCTTCTTAAGTGCAAGTTGTACACAGTGACTTCATTCCAAAGAGGACAGTGTGGAAAGGAAGAGAAAAAGAAAACTTTAGAGAGGGGAAACCGACAGATGCTGCCTCAGCCTGACGGTGAAGGTCAGCACCAGCAACGCTGTCATGTTAACAGAATGTGCCCTCAATATGATGTGATACAAATGGCACTTCCCCTCTGAGGTCTTCCTTCCAAAAACAGATAACCCAGGTCCACTTGTGAGAAAGGTGAGAAAAACATCAGACAGGTCCAAAGGGTAGGGCATTCTACAAAACATCTGACCAGTCCTGCTCAAAACAGTCAAGGTCATTGAAAACAAGGACGCTTTGAGAAATTGTCATAGCCAAGAGGAGCCTAAGGAGATGTGACAGCTGAATCCTGGATGAAATCCTGGAATAGTAAAAGGACATTGAAATTGGGGAAGACATTGTCCTCTAGATTAATTATACTTACAATCATTATTGGGGCACAAATTATCGAAACAACATATTTAACTCTTAAACATAAAAAGCAGAATTTCGTTGGAAGGGCAACTCCTTGGCAGAACAAAATTTGGGATTTTCAATGCGGTCGTCTGGAAGTCACTTAACCTGGAGCCAATGCAGTACAGGCTCCGAGTGTGGGGTCCAGGGCTTCCCGGGCACCCCACAGACCTTTTCAGGGGCCCTCAAGATGAAAACTTTTTTTGTAACAACAGCAAGCTTTTCTCTGCCCTCTTCATGCCCATTCTCTCAGGAACGTATGATGGAATTTTCCAGAGGCGGTGTGATGTGTGAGGATGGCTTCAGCTCCATTAGCTACTAGAATATGTGCTGTGTATTCTTGGGTTTTAAAGGTTTTCAATTTTCATGTCAACTTCAGTCCACAGCAAGGGATAAAAGTCGGGTTCTCAATAATTTTTAAGACTTCAATTTTAAAGGTATCTTGAGACCTAAACATTTTGGGATGGAGGTCCCATAGTGACTGGAGATGTGTGTGTGTGTGTGTGTGGGGGGGAGCGGTAAGGAGGGGGTTTTTTTTTTTTTTTTTGTAAAGTAAGGGAGTAAAGATAGGGAAGTAGGAGGTGGGACAGAAGATCTGGCAGGGTACCTGAACTTTGGACACTTTGTCTGGCGTGGATTTTAGGAAAGAAGCCATATCCTGGATAAGGATGGAAACACTGACACCTCTGGGCCAGCGCTTGGGGCCCAGGCTTCCTATCACTATTTTGCTGCTGAATTGTGACACTTGGGTTTCACGTTGAAGTATCCCTTTTAACTTTCCAGGTCATAAGCTCCCAAATAAGTTTTGTTTGTGTCACCAGGCTCCATGAACTTGCAAAACTAGACTTATATTTAGAAAAATCAGTGTTGGCTCAATAAGAAGAAACAGGGAGTGGCTATGCAGCTTATTTTTTACATATTTGAGCACATATTGAGGCTAAAACCAGACACTTGAGTTCAATTACTCTCGCCAACACTCTTGGGAAAACTTAAGTTTTTGCAAAGTACAAATCACGTCCTGGCCGAGGTGGGGGAGCTGGCCCATCGTGAACCGGCACGACGGATGGCTTTCGCTGAGGTCTGTTGTCCACGGTCCTTGAGTCCTGCGGGGTTCACTGACACAGAAAGTGAAACTGCTTGTGGCAGGCCATGACTTCAGGTTAAGCGGAAGTCAGTCTTCCTCTCTGTGTTTCTCTTCAGAGGGCACACAAAGTCAGGAAGGCCATCTGTGGCAAGCTTCCCGGCACCAGGTACCCCCCTCTCAGAGCTGCCCAGAAGGAGCCAGACCACCGATGACAGCAGCTCTCCACATGGGCCAAACAGATGCCAGCAGAGAGCCGTGGAAGCTGGTCCAAACCGGTGAGCTCTCTTCCAAACCACATGGACACTTGGGGCCGAGGACACTCTCCTTAGCTTGAGGTACTCAGTTACACCCCTTTGGGCACAAACTGCCTGATCAGAGACGCATGTATCAGCCTGGGTTGAACACAGTGCCTGGTGTGCACAGGACAGACAGCTCCCTAGACGAACAATAACCACCAGACTGGAATAGACCTGCACATTTTATACCCAAACCCTTGTGGCTTTTCAGGGAAAAAATGATCCAGGTCTCCACCCTGCCACCCACATTCCTCCAAGTGCCTCAGGCTCCTGAGCCATGTCTTCTTCTGGCGGCCCCCCCCTTCCTCCATTACATCTCACTCCACCCATGACGGCTCAAGCCCCTCTTGCTTGGTCCTCTGCTGGTTTAAAAAAAGATGGCCTCTGACACAAAGTCTAAGAGATATTTTAAGGAACATTCAGTAACAGGACATTCCCTTGAGGGAGGGACATTCAGAGCTGCTGACGAAGCAACTTCTAAGAGCACACTTAGGCCATTTCTTTGAGTTCTGATTAAGCAATCCCGTCCTCTCATTTTTTTCCCCTGGTGTCTATCTTTCTACCCACAGAGGCAAGACACAGAAGAATATGCTGCACAGAGGAAGGCGCTTAGGCTCACTAACTCGGAATTCATTCATCTGCTGAGTCCTTACCATGTGCCAGACATTTGCCCAGGCACTTGGGGTCTGTCCCTGACCTTACAGAGCTCACATTCTCATAGAGGGACATGGGTGAGAAGTAATAACCTTATAAATAAGTGAGCTACATGCTCTCTCAGAAGGTAATTAGTACTGTGAAAATTCAGAAGATGATCAGAGGGTCAGAGGTGGCTCCTTGGGAAATGTCCTCTGAGGAAAGACTCAGGGTAAGGGAATGGTCAAGTTTATCCTCAGGGTGAGGGAAGGTTCTAGGCAGAGGAAACAGGTGGGACAGGCCTTTGCTTTGTCCTCTAAGTGGGGTGGGAAACTGTGAGCTTTGAGCAGAAGACTGACGTGATATAATTTGTGTTTCATCAGGATTGTGCCAGCTGCCACGTCAAGACTAGACCTGAGCATACATGAGGTATGATCAGAAAATAGAATGAATATTTACATTTAAAAATGTATTACAGTAAAAGACACATTGCCATTAATCCCCCTCAAAATACTCCCCCTCGCTTCACACACACTTATCCCATCATTCTTGCCACTTTCTGAAGCAGTTCTGGAAGTCCTCTTTAATGAGTGTCTTTAGTTACACTGTCGTGGCTGCCTTGATGTCATGAATCGATTCAAAATATTTTCCTTTCATGGTCATTTTGACTTTGGGGAAGAGCCAGAGGTTTCACAGTGCCAGATCCAGTGAATAAAATGGATGAGAACACACCATAATGTTTTTATTTGACAGAAATTGCCATATACCAGAAACAATGTGTGACATGGAGTGTTGTCATGATGGAGGATGAAGTAAGGACACTCACAAAAGAGGACTTCCAGAACTGCTTCAGAAATGGGCAAGAACAATGGGACAAGTGTGTTCAAAGCAAGGGGGAATATTTTGAGGGGGATTACAGTGTATTTTACTGTAATAAATTTTTAAAATTTAAACATTCACTCCATCTTTTGATTACAACTTGTAGGTCCCTAAATCACTCTGAATTTTTTCCTGGTCTGTAAAATGGGTATAAAAATGCCTAACTATATCCCAGCTTGCTGTGAGGTTCAAAGTAAATTTTTATTGAAAGCACTGTGAGAATTACGGCCCCATTTATATAAATCCTAGTTATGTTACCATGGTTATTACAATGAATATGAATAACTATATCCAACTAACTATGACTTCGCTGCTTTCTAAATGTTGATTTAAATATAAAATAAATAACCGTTTTAAAAAGAAAAGCCAGAAAGATCAGCATAAGCCCACCACTCTTCATAAGAAGGTGGCTCAAAATCGACAGTAGTTAGTAACTATTTCACATGAAAATGTACAACAGGTTACATTTGAATCACTCCTGCAGGCTGCTTCTGTGCCCAGGGCTCTACATTCATTATTTCACTGGATCCTCATAAACATTCCATGAAACAGACACTGTTATATATTTTATATAAAGAAGTCGAGTCCATTGTCTAGAGACACATGACAGTAAAGTGGCATTAGTCTCTATGTCAAAGCCAGGCACCTTAACTGCTAGCCTATAATGGATGCATCCCACCACTAGACACCATGCAGCAAACGCTTTCTGCAGTTCTGGGGTTTTTTTTGGTTTTTTTTGGAGGGGGAAGAGGCAGATTGGGTTTTGCCTATGATGAAATGATTCTTAAAAAAAAAACACCCCACTTTGTTTTGAAATAATTTTCGATTCACAAGAAATTACAGAAATAGTAGAGAGTTCCTGTCCACCCTTTACTCAGCTTCCCCTTCTGATAAGATCTTACGGAATCATAGGACGCTGGCCAAAACCAGGAAAGTGGCTTGCAATGACACATTCACACAACACAGACCGTGTTCCGACGTCGCCCGTTTCTGCCTGTTGCATTTGGGGAGGGAGGAGCGCAGAGCTCCATGAGGTTCTGTTACAGGCACAGACTATGTCCAGACATAGCTGTCCCATCACCAGAAAGAAGGTGCTTCCTGTCACCCCTTTTAGGATCATCATCCCCACAACCTAACCTCGGCAAGAGCTATCTGTCCACTCTACATGTGCCATTTTGCGGCTGCTACATAAACGTAATCCTACAGCATGGGGCCTTTGAGATTGGTTTGTTGACTCAGAGTCATGCCCTTTACACAACACACTTCTTTGTTCATGTCTCTTGAAGACACTGAAGGGCATGGCCTTCCTGGTCACACCTGTGCTCACTCAGAGCAGCCTCCACAGTGCGGCCTCGTGAACACTGCCTTATACCTCATTCTCTCGCTAGAGCAGCGGTTCTCAACCTTCCTAATGCCACGACCACCTAATACAGTTCCTCAGGTTGTGGTGACCCCCAACCATAAAATTATTTTTGTTGCTACTCTACAACTGTAATTTTGCTACTGTTATGAATCGTAATGTAAATATCTTTTTGTTTTCTGATGGTCTTAGGCGACCTCTGTGAAAGGGTCGTTCGACCCCCAAAGGGGTCGTGACCCACAGGTTGAGAACCACTGCGCTAGAGGGATCGGACAGGTTTACTGGGGGTGCATTTCAAGACGGAAGGACACCGCCTGCAAACAACCGGCTTTACATCAGCATGCGGCCCCCCAAAGGCCTTACACCTGAACACTGTGGGGCTCAGGTGTCACACCAAAGGTCCTTAAAATTAAAGACGGTTGCAAGTAAGAATTCTGTTTTATGTCATTGTTTCCCGACATTGTAAGACTCAGGTGCGCGGGCACAGCCTGCAGTGGCTTATTGGGTCTGACTGCCGTGCCCACCACAGGCCCTGCATCAGAAGCCTGAGCTCTGGGCCTTCCTCTCTCTGGGTCTGCAAAATGGATGCAAAAAGTCCTGTCTTATTACCATCACAGAACTGGTTAGAGATATAAATGAGAACATGATAAGAGTTTAAATGCAAAAATAATTATGCAAATGCAAGTTACTTTACCATCACTGTGTCTTTGTCCCAGTGAAGGGACCTAAGATGTGGGGTTGTTTATACTGCTTTTGTTTGTTCATTAGTTCACTCATTCACTCACACAGTTCTCATGTACCAGGTGCCATGTTGGGTGATGGGGCTAAACTAATTAATAATTAACACATAATAATCACGCTGATTAATAACTGGGGTGGGGGGGTGGACAAGCAGAGGGTCGGGCACCCTGTGGTGGGGGATGCACGGCTCGGGGAAGAGGCACTCTGGTGCACAGGCAAGGTCAAGGAGGGGACAGCAGGTTTTCAGAGAAGAAATAAATATGGGTACAAAATGTCTCCATAAGCAACCAGGAAAAAATTAAAGCAATGTAAAAGTTCACCGATAAGGGAACAGTTAAATAAATTATGGGCCATCCCCACACTGTGGCAATTGTCACAAACAACAACACAGGCCCACGAGTATCTATGTGGAAAGAGCTACATGGCTTGGCAACCTATGTGTGTACGCACAGACATAGGGATAGTTTAAGGAAGGGCCTGGAAGGAGGTGGACAATGGTGGATAGTGATTCCCTCTGCACAGAGTGGTGACAGTGTGGAGAAAAAAAATGGAGATTTTCACAGTTTGCTTCATTATGTCCATGGATTGAATGTTTTACAATGAATAGTATTTGTGTGCTAAAAAGTTAAAATTAATATGCACAAGTATTATCATGCTAACTTGAAGGAAAGTCACTTACACACACACATGTATTTATAGAAAAAATTAGGAAGAAAACACATCAGTATTTTCATTGTAATTGTAAATGTAATAAGCTGTAAAAACGCTTTTCTGAATTTTCTACACTTTTAACATAATTTGCTTAATAATTATGCAACATAAAGTGTTTTTTAACAACTTCTTATTTTGAATTAATTATAGATTCAAAGAAAAATGTAACGAAATATACAGAAAAGGTCCATGCACCCTTCCCCCTATGTCCTCAGTGTGAACACCTCATGTAACTACAGTCTACTGTCACAGCCAGGAAACCAACACTGCGACCAGACAGAGCTGATTCAGATTTCACCATCATACACGAACTTGTGTGTGTGTGTGTGTGGGGGGGCTCTTTGTAAATTTATTGCATGTGTAGCTTCGTGCAACCATGATATCACATAAAGGTTATTTTAAAAAGCACACTATTATGTCATAAACTCCTCGATTCCTATTTTGCATCTATCTTCTCTACCAAAGAAAAAAAATGTTCAAATTAGAGAAAGTAAAATGAAGACTGTAAAGAACTTGAAATCCAAATAGATGGCAGTTGTAAGGGTGCCCCCGGTCACTAGAAAGCAAGCAGAGCTCCAAGCTGAGACCAATTACACAGAGCCTTGGGTGTTAAAAGAATTCGCAGATCTTATCACAGAAACACACTACTATTTTCTGAGAAGGCATGCAGAAGAGGAAAAGTTCCAGGAAGTAGAGGTGGATAGAGTTTGGAGAGAGAAGAAAATGACACTGATTCTGGAAAGTAGAGTCACTGACAGACGGAAATCACAACAAAACTCAAGAGGGGGCTATCAACTCAGTGCCCGTGAGGATGTGGAAAATTGTCATATCCAGGACGTCAGCTCACCAACAGTCAGTGACATCTGACTTCAAAATGGATTCCAGTCTTTCTCTGACACTTACTAGCCTGATATATCAAGGAACGTCTCAGAAGACAAGATGGAGAAAAAGTGGTGGAAAACATAAAAGTACGCAAACTGACTGTTGGACAGCAGCCATGAGAGTTGACTGAATGAACTGAGGTCAACTCAGGGCTGCCTGAATGAACAGGCCCCTGGCTCTGCCCTTGGTTAGATCACAATCTAGATTTCCATCAACAACATGAAACAGACCAAAACGGCAGCCGGCACAAAGCAGGGAGAAAATCTGATAATCCAAATGAATCAAAGTTCAAAATGGGTTCAGTAGGCTAGAACAATGGATTAAATTTTTATAAGCATAAATGTGACATGGTAGGCTGAGATTTCAAAAATAATTAAATATGCAAGAAGCTGGGGAGCTTTGGCTTTGCAGCAATTTAATGAGAAAAAAGACCTGGGGATTTCAACCAACCTTAAACTCAACTTTAACCAATGTATTAACCTTCATCAAAAAGGTTTGATTACCAGGAATACAGTGTCCAAAACACTGACAGGACATTACAGCTTGCACTGAACCATATTAATGTCTTTGCAAAGTCACATCAATGTTACTAAATTCTTCCAGAAAACAGAGGACGTGGGAGCACTTCCTAACTAGTTTTAGGAGGTCAACACTACCCAGATATCAAAACTGGCAACAAATAACAAATTATAAACCAATTTCCCTCATGAGCATTGTTGTATAATACAGAATCAGGGGTGGCCTAAGGTTAGCTCAATTGGTCAGAGTGCATTGCTCATAACAACAAGGTTGTTGATTTGATCCCCGCATGGGCCACTGAGCTGCTCCCTCCACAACTATATTGAAACAACTGATGGGTCCTGGAAAAACACACTGTTTCCCAATACCCAAAAAAAAAAGATCCTGACTGGCTTTTGTCCCTTATAATTTCCTGAGTGATTGGGGTAGCTTTGTTAAGCTAATGAGGTGACTGTGGTGGGCCCCTAGATAGCTTCAGGATGGGTGCTGGTCACCGGAATGACTCATCACATGATGAGAGAATGGGCTCTCAGCCAAGCCTCCAAACTTCAGGGAGCTTAGGGAGATCTGGAGACTGTGTTCAGTCACATGGCCAATGATTTAATCACCTATGCCCGTGCGACAGAACCCCAACAATATCTCTGGACCCTGAGGCTGAACACACTGATGTGCCAGGAGGGTGACACACCCTCATTCCATGAGGAGAGGACACGGAGGCTCTACACTCGGGACCTTCCCAGACCTTACTCTCTATGCGTCCTCTATAATAAAACTGTAATCCTAAGTATAGCACTTTTCTGAATTCTGTGAGCTGTTCTAGCAAATTATCGACTCAGAGAGGGTCATGAGAGCCTCCACACTTACAGCCCATGAGTAAGAAGTGAGTTGGCCTGGGAACACCCCCTGTACCCCCAAGTCTTGTGGTGGACTTCATCCTTAACCTGTGGGCTCCACTCACTCTGAGTAGTCAGTATCAGAACAGAATTGCAGTCTGTCCACCCGGTGTTACCCCAGATTGAGGTTGAAAAAGGATAAACATAAAAGCAAAAACCATTAATTCAATGTCAAACCCACCACCACACATCGTGACCAAGTAGAGTTTACCCCAGGAATGCAAAACTGGCTTTACGTTTGAAAATCAAATCAGTGTAAGTTACCATATTGAGAGAAAATGGAGAAATCACACAAACTTTTCAGTAGACGCAGAAAACAGATTTGACTAAATTTGATATCCATCATGGTAAAAAATAAAATTTTCAGCCAACCAGGAATATGAAGAAACGTCTTCAACCCAATGATGGGCCATCTACAAAAACCCCCAGGTAACACCACACTTGCTGGTCACTGTCACCACTTCCGTGCAGCATGTAGGACAGGTGTCCTGGCCAGAGAGGTAGGAAATAAGCAAGAGATGAAAGGACTGGACTGGAAAGGTGGAAGGAAAACTGTGTATTTGCGGGTACCATCATTGTCTACAAAGAAAATCCAAGGACAGCAACAACACTAATAAGTGAGTGTAGCAAGGTTGTGGAATGTAAGATCAACACACAGGAATCCATTTACTTTCTACATGTTAATAGTGATCAACTGGGAAGTAAAATCAAGCATGCTACCCACCAGCATCAAAACCAGAAAATATTCAAAAATAAATTCCACAAATGACATGTAAGATCTCTATCCCCAAAGCTATAAAAATCCGTGGAGAGAAATTAAAGAAGACCTAAGTAAATGGAGAGATGAGACTGTGTACATGAACTAGAAGTCTCAATCTTATTAAGATATCATCTTCCCCTAAACTGATCTGTAAATTCAATACAATTGCAAACAAAATCACAGCAGACTTTTTTTTTTTTTTAACAAAAAATGTCAAGCTGAGGGTAGCCAGTTGGCTCAGGCGGTTAGAGCGCAGGCTCATAACACAAAGGTTGCTGATTCAATTCCTACATGAGCCAGTGAGCTGCAGCCTCCACAACTAGATTGAAAACAACGACTTGACTTGGAGCTGATAGGTCCTGGAAAAACACACTGTTCCCCAATAAAGTTTTTTAAAAAAATGTCAAGCTGATTCAAAGATTTATATGGAAATAGGCAAAAGACCTGAAGGGACACTTCACCAGAAAGGAGATATAATTGGTAGATAAGCATGAGAAATCTTTTCTAAATCTAACCTAAAAGTAGACACCAGGGAAGTGAAATGTGAACTAAAGCCACAGTCATCAACATGTTACAGCCATTAGAAAGTCTAAAATTAGAAAGACTCACCATATCAAGTGCTGGTGACATGTGCATAGAGCCCCTAGAGCCCCCTCCATGGCTGTGGGGAATGCAACATGGCACAACCCTTTGGAAAAAAGTTTCCTGGTTTCCTTAAAAGTCAAACAGATGCCTACCATACGACCCCACTGGTTTTCTCCTGCTATTTACTCAAGGGAACTAAAAATATATGCTCCCCCAAAAGACTTGCACACAAATACTCAGAGCTATTTTATTCACAATTAACCAACAGCCACAAACTTAGAATTAAGTGTTCACCAAGCCAATGGATAAACTCTGTGTGGCACCATCACACAACACAGCATCCGTCATTGGCAATAAAAATCAATGCATCACTGATAAACAATATGCATGAGTATCAAAAACATCACATCAGCCGAAGAAGCCTGACACAAATATACACTTTATGATTCCATTTATTTGCAGAATGAGAACAGGCAACACTAATCTGATAACCGTCAAAACAGTGTTGACTGTGGGGGGCAGGGACTCATCAGAAGAGAGCATGAGGGACCTTCCAAGATGACAGCCATGTTCTATATCTTGATGGAAGCGGTGGTTACAGGGGTGTCTGCACTAATCAAAACTCAGAGTTGTGCACTTAAGTTCTATGCATTTACTTGTAGGTACATTTGACCTCAATGAAATAATCCTTCTTTGTAGGATTTCAGAGCAAACATCCTAAAGAGGATGGAGTGTATTTTTTTTTTAATTGATTTTCGAACGAAGCAGTCACTGATGATCTACTTCTTGGAGAAACTCAAAGAAAACTCAGATGATAGCAGAGAGAACCATAATTTTCCTGGTAGAGCCAGGAGTTAGAAGAGTGATCCAGACACAGCACCGAGGGGCTGGCATTCACTTGCTGACCCGTTCTTGCCATAAATATTTAGTGAGTGCCACCATGGGTCAGGCACTGCCTTGGGACAGTTCTTACTTGTCCTTACTGAGCACATGTTCTCAAAGACAGGTAAGGAGACTAACCAAACAAATAGGGTAATATTACAGTTGACAAGTGCAATAAGGAAGTCTCCAAGAATGCATGAGTAGGAGTCAATAAAGGGGCGGAGAACGTAAAATAGTTAAGAATGACGAGGGAAGCCTCTCTGAAGTGATATTTGAGTTGTCATGGAACAAAGGGCAGGGGGAAGAACACTGTAGGCAGATAAAAGAGAGAGCAAAGGTCCTGTAGCAGTAAGGAGGGAGATATGTCTGAGGAAATGAAACACAGCGTGACGGGTGCTTAGTAAGCAGGGAGGACAGTTGGGCGGGGGCAGAAAGGGCTCTGAGTGAGTCTAACACATTGAGAAGTCACTGAAAGGTTTCCAGCAGGTGGGTGACATGTTCTCATGGTCCTGTTGAAAGGGGCGCCTCAGGGAGCTGGGATAAAGGATTAGTGTGGGCACACGGCTGAAAGACTGAGACCCTCCAGGAAGCTACTACAGTGGTGTTGGCCAGAGCTGGCGGTGATACGCACCAGGACACTGAAGCACAGATGAAGAAGACAGATTTCGATGTACCGTAAGAGTTGGACTGGTGGAACCTGCTGACACATCCATGTGCAAAATGAGAAAAAGGAAGGATGGCAAACAGTAACATCACTAGCTAAGATGGGGGGTTTTTGGTGGAACAAGTGTGTGGGGAAGCCAACAGTTTCATTTTAAGACACCTACATACCCAGCAAGTGGAAATGCCAAGTAGATGGTAGGGTACATGAGCCTGGAGCTCAGGAGAGATGTCTGGGCTGGAGGTCATTGTCACACACATGGGGCTGAAACCAGGGGCCTGGAGGAACTCTCCTGGGGGCTGGTCTGGGAAGGAACAGGCGTGGGTCCATGATTGAGCCCTAAGGTGCCCCAACTTCAGAGCTCCTGCGAAGGGTACAGCAGGAGCAGTGAGGTGGGGACAGGCAGGGTGATGGGGTCCAGGAGCTACCAGCATGTTCTCAGTGTCCAGAACACCCTCTGCATACAGAAGTGCCACACAAAACACTGGCTGAATGCAGGAAGAAAGGGAGAAAGGGTTAGGGGGTGTGCAGGTCAGAATGGGCCACCCCATGCGGTGCCTCCATGGTGTGCCACTGTTCTGAGCAAAAGGCAACTTGGCTGCCTTTAGGCTCATGAGAAACTTCTGCCCCTCCCTGAATGCCTAGAAGAACTTGAATTAGGGGCCGTGCCCATAATAACAGATGGTCAGAGATGACCTCTTCTGACCCACCTACAGGGCAGGCCATCTTCTGTTTACTGAGCACTGCTCTTCTCATCATCCTGCAGTGACCCTGTGAAGCCCCCAGAGTCCCTGACGTCCTCCCTAGCTCAGGGTGTCTCCTACACCCACTTTCCCTTCCTGTCTCTCTATCTCTCCTGCAGGCGGAGACTCTGATTCTTGTGTGTGTGAGGTTCCCACATATACAGATGTATTAAATTGGGTCATTTTCTCTTGCTAATCTGTCTAATGTCTATTTGATTGTTAGACCTGCCGGGAGAACCTGGAGAGCAGAGGACACTGTTTTTCCCCCCACTGGGGGTGGTACCCTCTACAGATGTTGCTGAAAGTCACAACACAGAGGAGCCCACTGGCATTAGCCACACAGGGACACCAATGGTGTTGACTCAGAGCAATGGAAATGAAGCGGCACTTCTATTCAGATGGAAATCAAGATTACCACAGACTGTCCATGCAGCCACAACCCACAATGACTCAGTCTGCCCACACCAGCCCCAGGACCCGTGCGCCTGCCTTGCTGTCAGGCCTCACTGGGGTCTTCACATTAGTGGCTCCTGACATGCCACACCTGCCAGGAGAATAAGGCCACAGCTGCACTGAGGGATGTGAGCAGGCTCCCATGCCTGGCTGGGGGTTCTGGCTACTTCCCCAGCTGAAGCCTAGCCTCCCTGGGAGTGCACCCAGCTGCCTGCCAGCCCCGCTTTGGGAACTCTCCCAGCCAGGCCTCCTGCCGGGCTTGCCCTCACCTGAGCCCCACACCTGTGTCTGCATCCTCCTAATTCCCAGCAGGCTTCTGACCCCTCCCACTACTAGAGAGAAATAAAGAAACAACACACGACTCGACTCACCGGGAACAGTTAGCACGGAGGGGGACTTTTCAGGCTGTTCGGTAACACGGCTGCTGTTTTGAACCCAGAAAATGTTGACGGGTTCGGGCGGGCCCACGGCCTGACAGGTGAGGTTGAAGGCAGTGTTCCTGGTGACGTTCATGCTCTCAGGCTGCCGAGTGAAGTGAGGAAGCCCTGCAGAGAAGGAGTTAAGGGAAAGAAGGCTGCAGATCACAGGTCCCAGGGCATGGGAAACACCTACAGATTTCCTTCTGTACCACTTGGTCCTAAACATTAGTCTCCACCTCCCAAAGGGGGTGTGTGACAGTAAACAGAGGCTAACTCCCACCAGCCTAGCTCCAGAAAATTTTCTAGGACACTTTCCCACAGGGCTTGTCATGGGGATCAGAACCAGTTTTACCAGAAGGGAGGCCTGGCTAGTTTAAAACATCAGGCCGTTACTCACACCCCTGAGGCAGGCTGGCAGGTTTTCAGTAATCCTTATCAAAATAAGAAGAGAGTAAAAACCAAGCCACGTGATAGGTTTGCCTGCTTTTGAGGACAATCTATTGTGTGGGTGATGACGAATTTTAAATTCTATGCACGTGTGAACTCCTTTCAAAGCACAGTGTCATGAAAACACTGTAGACACAGTCACAGTCACAATCCTAAAATCTCTCACTGTAATCCAGGATCAAGGCCATAAGAAAGGGGACTTCAGCGATGTCTCAGAGAAACCCAAATAGCTCACTTTTCTGGGGCAAGTGCCAAAATTTAGCAGGTGAATCCAACTGTCCTCATGCATTTAAATTGTGTCCTTTTAGGACTGGGGACTCAGACCTGTTCGCAACAGGAACGATGCAGGAGTGATAAAACCAAAATCTTTTTTCCTGCTTCAACGTTTTACAAAACTCCATTTGGACTTAACGTGTTCCTGTCCTGGGCACTTTGCTGGGGTTCTGACAAGTAAAATGTCCTCTAAATATTTTGCCCAGATAAACAGCAAATGTAGGACACCATTCCCCACCCCTTCTGCTGACACAACCCTGAGGCACTGGCTGTCCAGCCTGGGGTGACGAGAGTCAGAAGAAAGTAGACAAGAAAGGTGACCTAATGGTGTGCCGACAGGGGCACCTCAGGGAGCTGGAAGCAGGGACCCCGCAGGGCTCCCCTGAGCAGTGGGGAGAGACCACTGGGGTGATTAAAATAAAGGTGCTCTCTCCTTGAAGCCTTTCTCCTTGGTCCCTGCCACTGCAGAACCAGGCTTGCAAACTCAGAGACCCAGGGACCTGGGCTCACCTGGGCACCAGCTCTCGCTCCCCAGTGGAGTTCAAGGCCCTCCACGGCACGGACTGCCTTCCCCTTGTCTCGCTTCTCACCTCCACTGAGTTCCATGTCATGTCATGGAACTACACTGAACCACCCACCTGACAAGTCCTAGGGCCCTGAAAGGAGTCCCAGACCAAATCGCTGACCCCCTCCAGGAAAACCACTCACCCCATCTCACTGTCCACATACGTGAGACAGGAAAAGATGCTGAAGAACAAGCAAATCGCCACTTGACCAGGTAAGTGGTGCCTGGTGCCACTGAGAACCCGATAGTGGAACCCATTTGCTTCCTAAAACAAAGTCATCCGCTTCTTTATTGTACATAACCCGAGGACAAAGAAGCCCCCAATCTCCTAGGACAGAGCTCACACTTTAAGAAATAAACTCATTTTATTGTTATCTAAAGTCTAAAAAGATGATCGTCTCGTGAAGTTCCAGTGCTTAGGGGTCTGCAAGGTTTGCACCCCATGTTATAAGTGAGCCTGCCAAACTCTACTCTCTCACCCCCAGCAGTACGGCCGGCCCCCTGTGGCCTCTTACCTTGTACCTCAAGGTAGATGGGCTCAGACACGATCTCTTCATCGTTTATTTTTGTCTTACAGATATACGACCCATTGTCTGGACGCTGCACGCTGGTTATGCTTCAGAGGAAACACAGGAAAGTATTTACAGTGGGCACCCTTTGAGCCCCTACTACAGACACAGAATACCCTTCAGCTTCCGTCATAAACTGTGACGGTCAATCTTATGTGTCGACACGGCTGGGCCACGGTGCCCAGATACTGGGTCAAACAGCACCCCATGCATTTCTGTGCAGGTATTTTTTAGATGAGATTAGCATTTACATCAGTGACTCTCAGTAAAGCAGGTGACCCTACATAGCGTGGGTGGACCTCGTCCAGTCGGGTGACGGCCTGTGAGCAAAGACAGAGGTCCTCTGAGGAAGAGGGGTCCTGCCAGCGGAGCTGGCTCTTATTTCTCTGAAGAACCCTGACTAGTGCATATGCTGTCACTTGTCTGGACATCTGTGGCAGACTCTGTATTGGGGTACTGCCCGCTTAAGGCATTTTGCAAACTTGTATGGTAGTTTCAGGTGGTCGCAATAACTAGGGGGCACCATGGCTTTTAGGAGCCAGGGGCAACTGTTCCATGTCCCAAATAACCTTCTGAGACCAGAACCCAATCCCGTTGTGCATACAAACAAAGCATGCTGCCTGCTTTTAATAGCCACATAATTTCCCAGGGCTGCAACTACCATGAAAACGGACGTGGTCACCAGGTGGAAAATGGGTCAGTGACAGATGGTTCCAGCTTCCACGTGCATGGGGGTGGGCCAGGGCGCACTTATCTGTGTACCTGATGTGGCCACGCCCCACATTTACATGTTCACATTCATGTTATTTTATTATTAATCACCTTTCTTTTGTTTTTCTAGGACACTATGTTTAAATTGGCTGTAAGGGTGAGATTCCTGCTTTCTGCCTTTCTAGCATGTACGTGACACGTGCACTTAGCCAGGGTCGGGAAGGGTGAGGGAGGGGACACGCTGAGGTACTCTCAGATGCTCTCTCACAGAAGACACCCCTACTGGCATGGGGAGCAGCTTGCTTATCCCAAAACAAAACTCATCTCTCAACCTGTCAAGGGCTGAGGCCTAAGGCTTAAAAGAGACCTGGAAGCTGGCAAGCTCAGAGGGGGCCCCACAGGCAACGGGAGGCAGCCGCCGGGGGCTAACACAGCACAGCGCTATTGAGGCAGTGAGGCCCCCAGGCCTCGAGGAGCCACAGTTCCCTTGGGGTGAGCACACAGTTTTCAGCACAAACACTGACATTTTGCAGATCCCCATTAACCTATGCTAAAGAGCAGCTACATTCCATGTCAAGAGCAGTGTTAATCAGAACTAGGGGACCAGGATTGCTTGGGTTAACATCACCTCCTTATTCCCAGGACCCAGCAGTGTGACTGTCACCTGTCAGCTGCATTTCCTGATGTGCCAGTCTGAGTGGCATCTGTCTTCCCCTTTCCCGACATTGCTGTGTAGGAGCAAACTAATTCTGGAATACATCTAATGAATGAACGTTGGACCTGGGAGGACCCAGGATCAAGGAAAGGCCAGATCTCTCCATGTTTTAGGGCAGAAGCTTGTCACAATGTCTAGAGGTCTCCAGGGGAAGACGAAGAGACCTCCCAGGACAAATATCTCCAAATCAGGGGGTGGCCCTTCCCTGATCATCTTCTTGGATGTCATGGTAACAGGAAGGGGCTAAAGACAGAGGAGGAGAAGCCTGTCTGGGGTGGTGGCCTGCCCATCGGAAAACCATAGTGGAAATGGCACATCCTGATCAGCAGCTCTGGAAGACCCTGTCCAGCTGGACAGTCAGTCTGGTCTTCTCTGTATTCCCAAGAGAGACAGATCATGGCTACTGCAGAGGGAGCCCTGCCCAGAGCTCACAATTCACTTTAGAAGAGGTGCCATTTTCTTCAGCCAAGGCCCAGGGCTCAACAGAGTGGACGGTGAGATCCGACAGATAGAGGACACTTGTGCCTCCCAGGACTCAGCTATGGCTCAGGGCCTGGGACTTTGGTGTCATAGCAGGTTTGCCACATGACTCAAGGAGCCATGGGTCAGGGACAAAGCGATGGCCACAGAGGGACGTAGGGTAGGGCCCCAGGAAGGCAGCAAAAGGGGCATGCAGAGGCCCAGGGAGCCCGAGAAGTGATCGGCACAAACGGCAGGTGAGCAGCACACCTTGGGCTGCAGAAGTCACGCCGCACAGAAAGTCCAGGCATACCATCAGGCCAGGACTAGAAAAGGGGGACACAGAGGGACCATGACCAAAATTCTGTCTTTAGCCATTCATGTCAGGAAGAGCTTAGCAGTCATCTGGGGAGAAGGGCTGTGTGCCTACAGTAACCAGCCAGTCTACCTCTATCATGCCTACAGCATAGGAGAGTTTCACAAAGTATTCTATGTGTTGCTTCCAGACACCAAGCAAAGGCTGTCATGCTGAACGCAGGAACGCAGGGTGGGGTGGCTGCAGACAGGGCGAGTGGCGTCCCTGAGCCCCTCTTTGTCCCCAGCAGAAACAGCAGGCACAGTCTCTACACAGGCTCAACAGGAAAGGCTCTGAGCTCAGAATAGCAAGCGAGGCGTTCTAGAAATTAAGGAACGGTTCCAGAAAGAACACAGAAGGGGGGGCATAATTCAAGAAGAGGCGCAGAACTGGAGATTTGGGTCTTTCCTAACCAGGCCCATAGGTGAGCAGCACAGTGGGAGCAAAAAGGAAGCATATCTATGACTTCTAGGTGACAAGAGGAAATTATTTTTGTTTTGAAGTCTCTTTCCAGCCAATGTACCTCAAGGTGAGGATAGGAAAAAATGGCATTTTCAGAGACGCAAGTCTCAGAAGTCTAGTGGAGGATGGGCTCCACACCTAGTGAAGGAATAAAAGCTGAGAAGGGGCTGGGCTCCCAGAAGCAGGAGAGTGAGGGTCCCCAGAAGGAGATCAAAGATGGCTCAGCCGGACCCCAGGCCCAGAGGGCACCTTGCCCAGACCAGAGCAGGACAGGGGACCCTTCAGGTCAGGCATCTCCAAGAACAAAGTCAGACCCGATAATTTCGTTACTTGGAGAGGAGATTCATATTTTCCTATAGACTTTAGATTAGAATGAGTGGTTGCTACTTAGAAAATTAAGCAAACTAACAAGCAAGGAAACTATTAACTTCAGGAAAATTAACAAGCTAAGAAGTAAACTGTGATTACTGTCTACGACTTCATTCAGCTGAAAACAGCATTTAGGTAGCCCCCAAAATGTGAGCCCTGTGACACTCTATTAGATTAACATAGCACACTGGGGCCTGGTGCACACACACACACATGTGTGCACAGACACACGTGCACGTACACACACGTGTGCATACATGCAGACATGTGGGCACGTGCACATGTGTACACGTGCACACAGAGACACATGTGCATGCACACATGCTTGTGTACACACACTCCCTCTGCAAAGACACCTGAGGAATGGGTGACCTCAGGTCCCCATTGGGAAAGAGCTGGGGGCTGAAGTGGGAGAAAGGATTTCTGAAGAGATGAAATATTTCACCATATATGTGCACTGCTTTAGAAAAGGCACAAAGACCCCATGAGATGTTGGTCAAATACATACGTCTGAACGAGGGAGAACCCAAAGGACTGTGCAGATGGGCTGAGCGTCCAGGCAGGAAGCACCTGGCCAGGCCCAGGGCTAGCTGCTGCACAGCCTGTCACACCAGGGCAGCCCTGGCTGGGCTGGCCCTGGGATGTCCTACAGGGACACACAGTGCCTGTCTGTCTCTCGAACCTGTTCCAGCTGGGCAGGACTGCTCAGAAGTGGGGCTCGAATAGCAGCTAAGCCCTAGAGCAGCAGTTCTCAACCTTCCTAATGCCGTAACCCCTTAATACAGTTCCTCATGTTGTGGTGACCCCCAACCATAAAATTATTTTCGTTGCTACTCTACAACTGTAATTTTGCTACTGTTATGAATCGTAATGTAAATATTGTTTTGTTTTCCGATGGTCTTAGGTGACCCCTGTGAAAGGGTCTTTCGACCCCCAAAGGGGTCGCGACCCACAGGTTGAGAACCGCTGCCCTCGAGCCTCTTAAAAAATTTTTAAAAGGACAAATATTATATTGTTCTGTTTACATATTGGTCCCTAGAATGGGGAAATCTATGAAAAAAGAATGTGGAGTGGAGGCTGCCAGGGGCTAGAGGACAGTGTGTGTGTGTCGGGGGGTGGGGGGGTCTGTGTTTTATGGGCACAGTTTCTGTTTGGGAGGACAAGAAACTTCTGGAGGTGACAGTGGTGACAGCTTCACAACACGGTGACTGTGCTTAAGGCCCCTGAACTGGACACTCAAAAGGGGCTAAAGCGGTAAATTCTATGCTATGTATATTTTACCATGAAAAACAGGAAAAACAAAAAAATAGTTTAAACACATACAAAGACGCACTGACAAGCATCCTGTCTGTACTTGCCACAGATCAAATGGTGGTGGTGGGAACCCATGGGTCACTCACAGCAGGCCTTGTATAAGCTCTGAGCTGAAAGGCAGTCTCCTGAGTATGAAGCAAGTCACAGAGGGTCAGCGATCTGTGACTAATGACAACCTTTCCAGCTGACATCAGGCTTGGCTTCAGACATTATGTCCTTATTTGCTGCTTTTACATGTACAATTCCATTTGAAGGCCACCAAAAGAAGCAGGATAAAGAACATCCTAAAGCAGATGTCAAGCCCCCACAGGGTAGCTGTGGGCAACAACCCTCCGCCTCCCCTCCCCCACCCCACAAACACCGGCTGCTCAGGGCGCCAGGAGCCCATAGGGACACAACTATTCATTTCCATCTTTACAAAGAAAGTGGACTAGGAAAGCAAAGTCCTTCCAGCCTCAGCCATGGGAACCATCAGGAGACCCTGACTGTATGGAAAGCAAACTGCAAACACTTTCCATTCGCCACAAGTCCGGTCACTAGGTCTGCAGGCCTCCAGCCACAGGAACACCAGCTTCTGCTCTGCTTGAGCTGCCTCCCCATCTCTGGTCCTTATGGCGATACCCTCTCCCTGTCCTCCCCCGCCCACAATGCTTTACCTGAGAGAGGGCATCTCTAGCTCAGTGGGAGAGCTGTCACCCCTACACCAGTCCTGGGAGCTAATTATGTCCCACAAATGACACCCTCCTATAGGGACTTCAGGGAGTAGTCTCGGCCAAGCAGTGTCTGAGGCCTGGACGCATGGATGAGCTACAGTTTCAAGCTGATGTTGCAAGGCAGAGGAGGCCAGATACTGGTTGGGGTGCCAGGGGGAGGCCAAGCCAGTGACCTGAGTCCCAAAAAGGAGGCCTAGTGATGCAGCCTCAGTTCCACACCATCCAGGACTGGGGAGGGAGGACTCAGTATTAGTCATCAGTGAGGGGCACCCCAGTGCTAGCTGACACTGAGTGTTTCTACACTTACAAATGAAAGACGACAGGACTCTCGATAGCAACAGACATCCCAGTGAAACGGGAAAACAGTGGGAATTACTAGCACAGACACAGCTCAGGCAAGCTTCTGCACCTGAAACACTGACTTACTTGTCTCTTCCCTTGTCTACGCCCCCAACCTTGCCATTGTGAGAGTAATTTTAAATGTTTTCCCTTTATAATTTGATTTGCATTCTTCTGTTTTACCATAGCCAATTACAGTGGCATACAGCAGCCACTAAAATATTTTGAAGACTTTTAACACTATAGGGAAACATTCATAATAGAATGTTACATGAATGAAACAGACATCCATGCATCTATGTGATAAAGTATGAATTTATTTCAAGAATATTAAGTTTATGGGTGCTTGGAAGAGTTTCCTCACAGGTGTGGGACCATAGTTTTCTTCTACTTGTCTGATATTTTCCAAATGTTTTAACAAGATACACATATTACTATTAAAATAATCTAAGCATACACAATGCAGCAGTTTCAAAAATTGTTCACGCCTGAACCCAAACTTTCATTACCCTCACCAGAGGGCATGGGACTTGCACTGAGATGCCTGTGGGCTCTTCCCGCAGTGCCCATCGTCCACCCCCCGGTTTCAGGAAACTGAGGTTTGACTGAGACATGTGGCCACCCTGAGTGGCGGCAGTGTCCCTCCCTCCATGCCGGTGCAGGTCCTCCTCCCCACATTGATCCTTCCAGGCCAGATCTGGACCCTGAGGGAAACACTAGCATGTAAACACTGCCTTAGCACTCACACTGGATACCAGAGTCTCCCTACCATCATCCCAAGCACAGCAGGAAGACAGGGACTGGTCTGCCCTCTGTCCATGTCCACACATTCATTCAGTTAACTATTCATCCACCCAGTAATGGCTTGCCTGCAAACTCATGAACAAGACCAGCTGCTTTCATAACTGGTGGACAGCTACCCATGTTATGATTAGGAAAAAAACTCTACTCCTTGTGTCCAAAATGATGTCACCAATGATACCAATGATCCTTTGCGTAAATTACTTTGTTACATTGTTTTCTTCCTTTGGATAGAAGTGAGCACTATGATAGCCTCAGGGAAAGAGGACATCAGAGCAGTGGATAGAGGGACAGAGAAGGCTGTTCCGGTGATTCGATACACATGCCTCCTGAACTACCCTTCAGCCAGGCCAGGTCCCGTTTCGGGATCAAGGACTAGACACTTACCTAAGGCGTTCGGGAGTTTAGGGGTGGGATGAGAGGAGGTGAGGGTCTGCACGATATGGAAGAGACAGTGTGGAACCAACATTGGGCCGAGAAAGCTCAGTGGAGCGTCCACAGCCCAGCCAGTCTCCAGCAGCTCACAACCCTTCATACAAATAGGATGAGCACAAACCATGGGGCCTCCTCGTTTTCAAGGTTCACATAAATTCCGCCCTTCCTTGCTATAACAGCTGATGGAGAAATGGTTCCAGACCTGAAGCAAAATGCCTTGTGTTTCTCTCCATAGTTCCTCCGCCTCCGCCAGTACACAGACATCTGCTGTTTGCACATTCCCTTAAATAAACGCAGTCCATATGGGTGTCGCTAACGGCAATCCCAGCAAAATGCAGGCTGAGGGATTCCTGATAGAACTGCATGCACCGAGAGCCTAGGACTAGTTTTTAACGCTTCCTGTTGCTGGAACCAGAGTAGATTTCCTCAGGGCCTGTGAGATGGGAGACGAGAGGACCCTGCAGGTGTGCGAATCAAGCTTCCGGCCTGAGGATGGCCAGCTCACCAGTTGGTGACCCTGGGCAAATCACCCACTCGGAGGGACCACGAGGCCCTCCTCTAAAAGATATCAACTTTGAGGTCTGCAACATCCTCTCTCTTGTCCCGAAATTACACAGATATTTATAATCTGGATGAAGCCACTATAATTTACTTCCTTGAATCACTCTACAGCCATTCTGCCATCTGAACATGACTTTATTAAAGTTGAATGTTATGGCAGTGACTTGATATTGTCCCATATGCCACTCAGCTCAGCCAAGTTTCCATCATTTGCAAGAATTCTGGTCACTGAAATTTGCTTTAAGGCTTAGTTTGGAGGCCAAATAAGATGTTTTTCCTTCACAGTGAGTTCATGAGCATTAAACTAAATACACACAAATGTATAATTAAATGCATATTTTTTGTCTCTGAAGTTCTCAAATGCTCACCCAGGTGGCTTCCTGAAGTCTAAAGACTAAGTTCAAAAGAAGACGCTGTCTAGGTTTAAACACTCCCAGTCTGAGTCCTCTGACCCTTGCGTGGCACCTGGATCTGCTAGTCACGTGGCCCCAAACCACCTCTTTGCCAAGAAGGCCAGGGTCTCACGGCTAGCCAGTGGCAGGACCCTGCTCAGGACGTCAGCCCAGGGAGACAGCAGGGCTATGCTCCCCTCTAAATGACATCTGGTGAGACCAATGCACCAGCTTTGTTTCCTGAAGCATTTAAACTGCCACTTACTCATTTTAAATGGCAATTTTACCTCTTCCATCAGAAGCTGTGTCTGCATAATGGTAAAACATCTGCGTTTTGTAGTTAATGCAGAAAAAAATATAGTCAAATCTCCTGAGTGGTCTCAGCCACTGGCTGAGAAAGGCTGCCCAAGAGACCAGCCCGAGTTTGAACCAACAGAAAGAAATATGGAGGGTGTGATCTGTGCCTTGGCCTTGACCAATCCTGTAACTTGGAGAAAAAAGGCAAGTAAAGGGTGCATCGTATGGGGTTGTTGACACACCAAATTCTAACTAACTCCAAGGTGGTCTTCTGAAAAGGAAGCATGAAAAGGTTCACCAAAGACATGACACAGCCTGGGACTGCCCTGAGGATCAGGCCAGAGAAACTGACAGGTGACCGAGGTCCCACGCCCAGGGGGGACCCTGCATGACTGACCTCATTCTGAGTGTACGGCGACCACAGGCTCACCGAAATCTAATAGCGTACATGTCATAGGTCCCCACACAGAAATAGAGCCCTCCCAGCTAAAGAGGAAAGAACAGAGAGTAACACAGGTTGGCGGAAGAGAGCCACTCTCTCAAGTCCGTGGCTGGGTGACTCAGTTCCACCAACAATGGATTGTTCCAGGTACACATCCTGGCTTGGTGTACCCTTGTCACTCCCCTAAATCAATGTCTTGCCCTGTCCAAAAGAAAGCAGAATACCGAGATGGTGACCCAAGTAGCTAAAGGTCTGTTTCATTTTCCTGGACTTTAGAACTGTCCCTTTCCCTACCCCAATTTGCCTGTAAACTACATCAGTGCCTTGATCCGCAGCAGGGTGGGGGTTGCTGGGGAGGTGTGTGTGTGTGTGGGGGGCAAAGGGGTGGCTCACAGGGTGAATGAAAGTGATGGGAGGACCGCATTGTTTTAAAAGCTCCAGGCAGGTGCTTTAGATGTGTTACTTGTGTCCAGGAAGCATCTGTCCCCACTCACTGGGAGAGCTCTGGACTCAAGCAACACTTGACATGACAAGTGGGAGGCGGGCCCCCAGGATCCAGAGCATCTGATAAGCAACAGCTCCTGTGGGGCCAAAATCAATTTAAAAGAGAGACACCGCACAGACCGTCACATTCATCCACATTCTGAATGGGACACTGGGGTTACTGACGTGGAACACAAAAGGTTGTTTTTTATTGACGAGGCTTCTGAACCATCAACAGCCTAAAGTGAACAAAGAAAGGAAAAACACACACCTGAAGGACGCTATCACTGCTGTGAATTCATCATCTGGATAGAAGTGAGTGACTGCATGATGTGCCCCAAGGAGCTCCTTGCCGTCTTTCCACCAAGAAACGTGGATGTCCTGGTGTGTGCTGGGCACGCTGATGGAGCAGTTAAACTTGACGTTCTTGTGCTCAGAAAGCACGATGTGGCCGACCGTGTGATTAAACGCAAGAGGTGGCTGGCGCTTGGACCTGGCGGAGGTCGCCCTGGGAGCGGCTGCGCTTCCGGTTGGTGACAGCACCATGGAGGCCCCGCGGCCAAGAGGAAGGGAAGATGGCAGGCGGTCGGGCAGGCCTCCTGGGAATGGCAGGGTGTGCGTGGTTTCTTCTCCCACCTCAGCGAGAACTGAGAAAGAAAACACCAAGTTTTATTAGCCTTTGGAACATTGCAGTTTTCTCTAAGCAGGTTCCCAACTTACGCGGCCACGACAAGGGGGCAGTGGAGCACCCTCAGTGTCCTTAGACCCTGTGGGAGGAGTTTAACCCACACATCTCATCCACAAGCTCCTTCAGTGTTCATTCAACACCTTCTAAAGAAGGTTTAAGAAATATTACTCCTCCCCTTTGCCCCCATCGGGAAGGAAGACAGTGTCTTCTGCTCGGTCTAATAATCAAATAGACATGAGACAGATTAGCAAGAGAAAATGACCCAATTTAATACATACGCACGCATGGGAACCCCGCATACACGAGAATCAGAGACCCCACCTGCAGGAGAGGTAGAGAGACGGGAAGGGAAAGTGGGTGTAGGAGACACCCTGAGCTAGGGAGGACGTCAGGGACTCTGGGGGCTTCACAGGTTCACTGCAGGATGATGAGAAGAGCAGTGCTTAGTAAACAGAAGATGGCCTGCCCTGTAGGTGGGTCAGAAGAGGTCATCTCTGACCATCTGTTATTATGGGCACGGCCCCTAATTCAAGTTCTTCTAGGCATTCAGGTAGGGGGAGAAGTTTCTCATGAATCTAAAGGCAGCCAGGTTGCCTTTCACTCAGAACAGTGGCACACCATGGAGGCACCACATGGGGTGGGCTGTTCTGACCTGCACACACTCATCAAAAAATAGTTTTGTTAACTGTGACTCATCCGAAGTCCTTCATACTCAACTCAGCAGCATGGCAGGAAGACGACGACACGGACATCATTTTCTGCCCGGTCACAAGACTGGGCCACAAATCCAGCCAGTAGTCTTGCGAAGGCTGCTACTTTTCACAAAGAGACCCACCCCTACGTATGGGGGGAATCAAAGTGTGCCTCTGTTACCAGCCACACAACGACTTGGTGCTTCTAGCAAAATGCTTGCTGCTGGAATGGACCTAGAAATGATTTTTCATGTGGTCCACAAGCATTTCTAAAAGTACAGGCTCACAATAGTTGGACTTTTACCTTTTTAATGGTGTTTTTGGAGCATACAGTCTATGCTGGTCATTACGTTACATATTCAATCATGATGACCACAAGCTGGAGAGACTGGCCTTGCATTTTGCTGGTTAGTGACCAGGGGTACACATAGGCACCCCAATCCCTACTGGAGGGCTGTGCGTGCTGTCACGCTTGAGATATCACACTCTTGTGTGTGTGCAGGAGTAGGGTGGTCTGTGCTTGGGCCTGTGCCAGATTTACGGAATAAGAATACACCACACCCAGTTAAACTTGAATTTTAGGTCAACAGCAAAAACTTTCTAGCATAAGTACCCAGCTAAACATTGAACGTCTGGAGGCAGAAGTGGGGGCCTGACAACGTGTTTGTCTGCCTTCGTCCTGGCCGCAGCTCTGACCAGTCCTCTCCGTATGACTGCCTCCCACGCTAGGCCACTCTTGTGGCTGCTGCAGGTGGGGGACACGAGATGTCACTAGAACAAACCAGACAAAGCCCCCTGCTGGACCTAAGCCTGAGGTCCATGGCTGTGGGGGTACAGAGCCCTCTGCATGCCTGGGGGAGGGCTCTGGGGGGCAGCCTCGTGCTGGCTTTGACCAGTCATCTGGACAGATGAGTGTGTTGTGGCTGGAGGGCTCCCTTACCCAAGGGGCACGCCAAGCCAGCCTGATGCCCGAGTGTGGCCTAGGCTCTCAATACGGGGAGGGGAGGCGAAGCCCAGCCTGGGTCTTAGCCAGCCCCCACTTTCTCCGAGTTGGGGAGCTTTGTGATGCAATGACTGCTCTGGCGATTCACCCTGTGCCTTGTGCACACTCTTCCTGCAGGCTTTCAAGCGCCCAGGAGGCCTGTGCCTCTTCCATCGGCAAACTTACCACGAGTCCTTCTTCCCTTCTGAGTGCCACACACGGGGGAACCAGGTTTTCACCAAATTACTATGTTTTTGTTCTTTAAATATATGCTCCTTTCATAGAAGGCAAAAAGTAGAGTGAAGATGCAAACGGTACTTTCTTTGTCTAATTTACTTAAAAACATTTGACTTTTGTAATTATAAAGGTAACACCAATCTGTTGTGAAAAAGTCAAATATTTGTACAAGCATAGAAAGTATGAAATAGAAAACTGTTTTGTAATCCCAACCCTGTGAGTTAAGCCCTGATTACAGTTTGGGTGTAACCTTCAGTTTTCTATGAACTGAGCTGCTAACTGAACCAGTAGTGGCAACGCTCCCTGCCACCCCAGGCGATATCACGAACTCAGGGAGCAGCCACATCCACCCTGTCACCACTGTAGATGCTTTAAACATAACGCATCTCCACAACTGAATCTGCCAGAAGTTGGCAGAATGACTTAATTGCCAACAAATATTTATATAGCAGTTCCTGGGTCTCAGATTTGCTGTGATAGTCCAATGGGTCAGAGAGAGGCACTTGCCCAGAACAGGGGCAGCAGAAGAGCCCAGGATTAAAGGGGAGACACAGCTGAGGGTTGGAGGGGGTTCCCTCCCAGGTGGGTACTGCCCCCCACTTTGTAACATCTGTGATCACTCATTCAATTGCTTGTCTCCCACTGGACCCCCTGACAGCCCCATGAGACCTCAAACCCATACCATAGCCAGTTCAAAGAGGTGCTCAAAATATGTGCATTGAATGAATAAGTAAAGGCATGAATGAGAGGAGGGGTAAGGGGTAAGTAGGATGTCAAGGGGCAGAGGTGGTGGGAAATTGGAGAAAGAATTATTCCTAATAGCTTGGGAACGCCAATTTAGTTGTAGAGTGGCACTCCTGTGTGCCCTGGATACTGGTGGAAGCGGCGGGGGTACTGAAAGGTTCCTGGGCAGGGGAGGGTGGGGGATCAGAGCGTGGGGGAGGCGGCGGCCAGGAAGTGGGAAGGATCCAGGAGACACAGGGGGCCTGGCCACAAAAGCATTCCCACCATCACTGCCATTTCACACAAGAAAGGTCAGCCTGACCCAAATATTTAGGAAACACATAATCTCAGGATTGGTCACTTGGCAGCTCTACCCTGGGCCGCTGCTCGAAGAACATAGGCCGTTTGATGCTTCAGGTCTAGTTTCCTTGTGTGAAAATGGGGATGGAACAGCTGTGCTCCCAGGAATGAAGGAGGCATGGCTATGTCTGGGTCACAATAAGCGCTCAAGTCAAGGTTAGCTCTCACAATTTGTATTGCTTTCTCATTTTATCATGAGCCATGGTAACATCCTTGAGAACTGCTCACCTGCCGGCTTGGGACTGAGGCCCCCAGGTTGGTGAGGCTTACACTGCACGTTTTTGGGGGTGTTGCCATCCACACGGTCATCTGTGTGAACGGTGCTCAGTGAGAACAGAAAATGTGCAAAAAGGTGAAATGAACATCATTCCAAGCCTCTGGGTCCAAGGGCAACAATCACTTAGAAATCTCAGCTGAAGCTACCAGCTGTTCACTATTCTGACTACTTCAGTTATATGATGTCTCCCTCCCCATTTTTCCTCCCCGAAGTGGAGTACTTCAACATTATCTTGGGAGGAGTGATGGTTGGAAGAGATCAGACCAAAAGTGTTACAGCTTTTCATTTTCACTAACCTGTCCCTGAGAAGTCATCTTCAAGGTGACAAGGAATGCGCTGGGCCTATGTGATGATCGCCATTGTGGAGACAATGTTCGTTCATTGTGCGAGGGGTATGAGAACCCACAATCAGAAATGCAGCAGGAATGGCCCTTTCTACAAAGCACACATGGAGAAGTGGGCCACCTCTGGAATTCACAGGACATCACCCCTTCCTACCCTTCCCACATTCTCTCACAGTCATGTCCTTGTGTGGACTGGATGGCAGCTAAAGTGGGAAGCAACCCTGGATAAATAGTCTCCCGTTCAGGTCAAAGGGTTGCTTGCTGTCCACGTGTTCTGGCAGCTGCATTTGCCAATTCCAGGGGCCACACCCATCCAGCCATGGGGTGACATGATGGAGTGTCCCTGCGTGTGCCCACGTGTCTCCAATCACCACTCAGCCCTTGCAACATTAGCCTCTTCAAGACGGACTGTGTCTCCATCATCTTGCTCCCATGCCCAGCACAGGGGCAGCCTGCTCCTGTGGCTTTGCCTTGTTCTTCTGAACAAGTTTGTCTGCAGTTGCCTTGAAGACTGGGGATGGCATCTTCTGAGCCCAGCATGGTGCATGGAATGGAATGGACCCACAGTGGACACTGAAGGAATAAAGGGGTGTGATGCAGCCAGCATTCTGAAGGGTGGACAAGGAAGAGGTGGTTGAGACAGGGACACTGCTGTGGCTGGGAGTAGGACTGCCTCTGAGGCACCCCTACCACCGGCCACACACAGCCACAGTGGGTCAGACATTTAGGGACCTTAATCTCTTACACTCAAAATTGGTTCATTAGGGGCCGCTAGTAAAGAAACTGTTTTCTGCGTGATCAGCTTATATGCCCACCCTGAAATCCACAACTGTTTGTTCAGCGCTGGTGGGTGTGTGCAATGGCAGGCATGGTGGGGCGGTGCTGCTCAAAGCCCCCAGCCACTTGTACCAAGACATGACCTCTCTGACCACCTAGTGGATGGAGGCGACGGGATGCACAGGTCCCCAGAGCACTACACAGATGCTGGCTTACGTTGTATTGCCTGCATCTGACTCAGGCCCAGCGGCCACGGGAAGTAGGAATGTCTGGACCTCATGGGAGAGAGTGCTGCAATCACCAGGACAGTCTGTCTCAGACGACGCACAGGGAGTGGCAGGTCTGGAGCAGGGTGACTGCCAGCTACGAACGGAAGGAGAGGGAGTGTACTTCTGGCCTTTGATGGCCAAAGTTCTCCAGGTTTCAAGGGGATCTCCTGAGGGCTGGACCCACATCCTCTCTTAGCATGAGCACCTTAGATTCTCCAGGATCCTCGGGTCACAGGTCGAGAAGGGCACAGGAAGCGGCAGCTATTGAAGTCATGGGTCCCAGGCTAGCAGGTCTAGT